CTTGAATGGAAGCCAAGCACCTGGCAGCACGACCGCTCCCACGTCTGTACATCACAGACCGCAGACCTTCCAACAATCCTGCTTCAAGCCTGCAGTGGACCTTCGACCTTGGACCTCTCTTTGGACATGCGTAGGATCTCATGCTTTCTTCACGAAAGCCTTCAAACCGTCGCCAGCTTTCCAGCAAAGGTCTCTCCAGCATCGCTCGCTGCGCGTGCTCACCTGAGCCCAACAACCGTCCTCTTCTACAACAATGCAGTGAAAACTCGCAAGCCCAAAGACAACTCAAACACAAAGGCCACACAAATCGCTGCCGATTGGTTGCTATGAGAGCGATGGAAGGTGGCCACCTTCTCAGGTGGGCCGAGATGTACGGGAGCTGCAATCCGCGTGCGTCGCTGAGCCGCGGCCGTGCCTGGAGAGTCGGAGGCCAGGGGCAGCCCATGACGGCGGAAAATACTGAAAACCACTTGTCGAAGCTGTGCGTCGAAGGCATCAAAGGCGAAGACGTTCTCCATTACACTATCAATGGAGTCATCTGGATACACTGCTAAGTGGCGCACGATATTGACTAGTTCTCGGGTTGAGTATGGGTACGAAAGCTTTCCATCTTCGACCATTTGCCGCAGTTCGCTAAAAGATGCAGACAACATCTCCAGCAACGCCACCGGAACCTGCGGTGCATAGGACTGCAGCATGGCGACCTCTGACACCTGGTCCGGGTTCTGGACGGCATGGCATGCGAAACAGTCCCCCATCTCGCGGAAGAAATCATTCCCTAAAAACGGGAATCCCGGGCGGTTTGCCAAGGCCACAACGAGGAACGCCTCATGGATGTTCCGGTGTCGCACAAAGCGTCGGCCATCTGCCAGCAGGATCTCACCATCCTGCAGGAGTCCTTTAAGAGTTAGCACGACTTCCGTGGGAGCCTTGTCGAATTCATCGATCACAAGAACCCGACCGTTGATCATGGCCTTCACCAGAGGTGAGTCATCATAGCACAAGAGGCCATTGCGCAAGCTTGGTACCAAGGTGAGCGAGCCCACAGTTGTGTCGCGGTGTAGCTGGATGTACTCACGCTCCCGGTGCAACAGCATAAGCATTTTGTCGATGAGCTTGTTCTTGCCAACACCCTGGTTGCCCATCAAAAGCAGGTGCTCAGAGGCTGCAATGTCGCGAAGCATATCGTGCAGTGCCAGGGTTTGCTGTGGGTTGTGAAAGAACTGGGTTTCAGGGACCAGCGCCTTTTCAAGCGGTGCTTGTACTCTGCAAGCAGCGGTTCCAATCCGCAAAGTTGGCTCTGAATCCATCAAGTCTGCTGCTTGAACAGCCATGCCAGCAGCATCCTGCAAGCGTGCTTGTTTGGAATGAACGCGAAACCCGGCTGTTCGCAGGACAGCCAACACAGCTCCGCTCTCAGCTGCTGGCATAAAGTCTGTCATCAGAGCTGACTGCAGGTATGCGCCGATCTCCGACGCAATATCAATACTACTTGGTGCGGCTGCTGCCGTCCTTGCTGCACGCAGAATTGCACGCAACGAAATCATCACCGAAGGATTGGCACTATCCTTGGTGCCAGTCCATAGAGACGAGCTGGAGTCTTGTGAGGCCTCATAGAGAAGCTGGCGCACGCGAAGCAGCGAGCGGACAACTCTTTGCGGGCAGTCAGGCACGGCAGCTGCGATGACAGGCCCAAGCTCTGGCTGCAGTGGCAGTGTGAAAAAGTGAAAAAGCTGCAGCACTTCGTTTGTGAGCCAGCTTCGACGGTGTGCATCGTTGGGGGTCGCCAAAGCCACCAAGCGGAATGTTGGATGTGTGCAGCGCAAGCCTCTGCTCGACAGCTGCTCCGATGTCAAGCCGAGCGACACAGAAAGAACCTTCCACCGCCATGGGGAGACAAAGCGGGTGCCATCATACAGTGTAACCTCACGATCTTGAATTACTTGAATCAAGGATGCCAAACTTCCTGGACGGAGCTGTTGCAAGCCATCAAGTACACAAAGACCGCCGTTCTGCATCGCTTGGAGAAGTGGGGACGGCTCCCACGTGCTCTCACCTTGCCTGCTTGTGGCCCTGCGTTGAAACAGATCTCGAGCTGTCATTTCCTCATGCAAAAAAAGCGTCTCCAGATGAGAATATCCCAAAGCATGTCCGAACTGCCTGGCGAGAAATGTTTTGCCTTCTCCTCGCGGGCCAATGAGGCAAATGTCTCGACCGACCGACGCAGAAAGGAGCATTCCTGTCAGAATCTGCCTTTGGTGGTCTGGCAGATCCAGAGCCACATGCTGGACCTCGTCCGGTCCGCGTCGACAGCGAAATGTTCTCACATTTCTACAGATGCGAATCTTGAAGCATGCTTCTGTACCCTCCTCCAAGACTTCCTCCAGAACTGGAGCTCCTGAGGCACCAGGTGCCTCACCCTGAGACTGAGGATGTGGCAAAATACTTGAAACCAGCTGCGCTGCCTCTGCTCTTAGGAGTCCACTTGCTTTACCAAATGGAAAAATCGCGCTCACCACGTGATGTACCGACAAACCTGGCGCAAGCTCGAGCAGCTGAGCAGCTGAAATCAAAGACTCTTCACAGGGAAAGCAGGGTGAGCCGAAAGCCAAATTCCTTGCTTCAGTGCCAGATGTTTGCGCCTGCAGTTTCATGAGTGCCCAAAGGCCCTCATGAAAACTTAGGAGTTCTTCAACGCACTCTGCTGAGGCATGCGGGGCATAATGTGTTTGCAGTTGGAACAGAAGAGCGTCGAGCGGAACTCGATCAATGAAGCGAGCCTGAAAGCGTGAGCGCAAAGGAGGGTCCAATGGATTGCCAGGAAAAGGTGGTGCAGGAACTCCAAGCGCAACGACTCGAAAGTCCTCATGCACGCGTACAAGCTTCAGCTGCTGTAGATGCTGCAGGCGGCTGCGACCAGCTACCAAGTTGTCGTACCTCTTCGGCGCAACAAGGAAACGACCATCTTCGAGCTGCATCTCTCGGTTTTCCAGGAGGTTGTTCAAAAGTGGCAGCACATTGCGCTCCGCTTTCTCCAGGCCTTCAAGTATCAGCACGCGGCCATTCAAAGCCGCGCGCACGACCGCCTGGTCAAACCAAATCACGGACAATGTCCCAGAACTACCCTGCTCGCTCATTCGAAGCTCACGTCGCATCTTGAGGTCGACCTCTGAGGTATCTGGAGTCAGCGCAAGGAACTCGCACTCTCGACCTGCCAAATGCAAGCGCGCGATCACACCTGTCAAACGACAAACCGAAGCGGCCTGATGGCTCCACTTAAAGTGCATATGAAGCATGTTTCGGATGAGTTGCCCCTGAAGACCACCGCCATTTTGGCCTTCGACGTTGTGGAAAGTCTCAGAAGCCAAGATCGGAATCATCGCCCCGGAAGTCAAACCGTTTTAACCATGCCGTAAATTCTTTGACCGGAAAGCATCGTGCACTGACATGCACTGACACTCTTCACGAGAGCATTACTTTCGCAAACCGGGCTCACAAGTGTCATGCGATTGCTGACAAACTATCTACAAGAAAGGTTGTGCAACGGCTCTCGGTAGAGATGACTGCTTTCGGGGAGCCATCGTTGGACTGCCATGCGCATTGCGCATCTTCCGATGTACATTCCTGTGCTCGCGGTCCCTGCTTACTGTAAGTTCCCGCAAGGCCGCCTAAATCAAGTCGTGCCGATCTGGCATCATTACAGCCTTTCATCGAAAAGGTTCTGACGTCTCTGCCGGTGGGCAAATCTTCATGTTGAATTCTTTCCGGTGGCAATAGTCCGTTTGGCATGCGCTTGAAGCCTGCGGCCCAAAAAGGCTAGGAGATGCACTCCGCAGATCGATCAGCCAGCGCGGGCTGGCAACTGCTAGCGCCCGAAAGCGCCTGGCTTCCGAGGCTGCCAACTGCATCTTCGACTCTGCACCTGCGATAATGTCTGCAGCGGTCTAGAGCACAGGACAATTCTCAGTACGTTCCTTCCGCATCCTTGCTCGTGCAGCGTTGCGAAAGTCTAGCCGACAGTGAAGCTCACCGCCTCTGACACAAACCCAAAAGGTTTTGAGGGGTTTTCGGCACGCAAAGCCAGGCGAGGTTCCAGGCAACAGTTCTGACCTCTCATTGACATGTTGGGCTTGGTTCGAGTGTTTCCGATTCGGGTTGTGTCTAGCAGTCTGGCACGGCCGATGCTGCAGGTGAGATCTTGGGTAACCACCACTCAACACTAGTCTAGAGAAGCACTTCAAGACTGACGGATTCTTCTGATGGCATCCGAACAAAGACAAATCCATCATCATGTCTCGCCTGCGATCTCACAGAACCGATACGCCAGCCAGCGGCGCAAAGGAGAGTGTGGGCCCAGCAGAAACATGTCTTGTCCGAGAGCATCCTTCTGAATCATCCAACGCAAATGCTCGGCGGCCCATTCTGACTCCAGCAATCTGCAGCGCTGCTCATATTGGATCGGAATAAGTTCTGGGCTTTTGCTGTCGGCTTTCGTTGAAGAAGTGAGGGAGGCAGCAATCTGCCTCACTCGTCGCTGGGCCATGGCTCGACTGCAACACACCGAAAGAATACTTGCCAAGAATTCTGCAGGATCATGCGCCGCACGTCTAACATTCGCGCATCTATGCTCTCCGCTCCTATCATGCGATTGGCACGGCTGAGCTGGAGCCACCAGTATCAAGTCGAAAATAGGTGTCAGGCCACGCATGCCGATACAAAAGCAGCACTGCCAGCACCTGAGTGACGACAACTCCACGGAAGCTCGAGCCATACCTCGCGAGCCTCGCGAGCCTCCGGCCTGACACGAAAGCGCTCTGTGTGAAGCGCTCGCAATGCCTTGGGGGATTCTTGCACGTTGCGGTATGGCCTGCGATTGCTGGGGGGATTGCTGAGTCTACTCATGCTCACGTTCAGCTTGAGCAGTAAATGCGCTGCCGCTTCCGTGCACCGACCAAGTTGCGAAGCCCAATCAAGCCAGTGCATGTCACTGCAGGCCTGGATCAGCCTTCCTTTACTGCCTCCAGTGCCTCGCTGCAGGGTGCGAAGCAAAAGCACTGCTGATCAGCCTGGCACTGCCTCCCAAGCGTTGACAGTAGAGCCACGCCTGCCACTTCAAGGTGGGAAAGCACCCTTGTGTTTGCTTCTCGACAACCACGGGTGTTGAGAAGTAGTCCCCAGGCCCCTTCACTGTCTGAAGTGAAGCTGGCAGGAAAGCGCAACCCCCAAATGGAAAACGCAACAGTCACAAAGGGCTACTGACAATGAGGGGTTTGGCTAGTTGAATGAGCTTCAGCTCCAACAGCCCCAGCTACGGGGTTGCTCAAGCCGACTATGGACTATGGCCCACTGCTCCCACAAAACTGATTTTTGCATGGGCTGTGCCGCTGCGGAACTATGACGTGAGCTCAGTAAACACAAGGCGATTGGCCTGCAGTCCGTCCAAAGTCGGTAGCCACATATTACCAAAGCACATTGCTCTCCAGGCTCGCGTTCTTGGGATTGGACTGGGATGGGGGAACTCTTCGGAACGCCAAACGTGACAGCAAGAAACCAAAGCAGGTGCATCAGTGAGTCAGGCTGTGCAAATGAAGCATCTTCCGAGCACCTCAATAACCAAAGTCACATGCTCTGCTTAGAAGAGCCGGGGCCTAGCCTACGGCAGTTTACGGCACTGCAGAGTAAAATGCGGAAACCATACCACGAGCAACCACGGCAACCGTTGTCGGATACATAAACCGAGAAGAGATCCACGGCTTCGCGAACGGCCTGCCAGCCAAATGTGTTGCCGCGGACATGCGGCGGCCTTTGCTGTTATGCCTCGGACCGAACGATCAGCTAGATTGTTCACGCCGATGCCCGATGCTCCCATGTTTCCAACTTCTGAGGTGCTCACCGGGGACGATCTCTATCAGATTTTTCTGGCCTTGGGGTGGTTGATTGCGCAACAGAAGCCAAAGTGGCTTCTCCCTTTTGCTGACTTTCTAAGGGCGTCTGCAGAGTCTGCAGAGGACGGGGGAGTTAAACGCGGCCCTGCATTGGGGCGCAGCCTGATGCAGCTTGTCCGTCGCGCGGGTGCGCCCTCCCCCCCTCCACAGCAGCCAAGCTCAGCCTCTCACCCGAGCAAACAGCCACAAGGATAGTTCGACGTTTTTGTGGGAACTCCCGTGCAAAATTCGCACAGCCGCCCATCCCCTCCCCACACCTCGCTGTTCGCTGTGGGAACTCCTGGTTGGGCTCCAATTGGCTACGGCTGGGTGAAAGTGCCTCGGGACTGGACGTGCTGGTCTTCGCGAAACCGATGCTCTCTTCTTCCACACCCCAGCACAGACACCCCTCTGTCTCTCTTTGTCTCTCTCCTCTCAAGAATAAACCAGCGACTCGCGACGCATTCTCCAGGCGCGAGCATGAAATGCTGCGGCCCTGGCGGCTTCTTGGGAAACAGGCCGGGGGCCACGGCCTGCACACCAGGCCGATGCCGGATCGTTTCCGTAGATTCTTGTAAACCCCATACAGGCCTGGACCTTGAGCATCAGACAGATCCATCGGGCGCCGCCCTGCCAGGAGAGGAGACTTCAAGACCTTGACCTCCAAACGCCTGGAGCCGCTGAGCCTCCAGGAGCTCCTGTTCACGCTGGACCACGGCAATGTCTTGGTCACTGAGTCCAGGTTGCTTCAGATTCTCCTCTCAACAGAACGGCACAGAAGACTTGAAGCCATTCTTCCAGCTGAGGGTTGCAGATTCTCCCACTGCAGCGAAACGCATCAAAACCGTATTACGCGGACGCAGCCGTGTCGTAGAGCTAAAGCCGCGCGCGGCTAGGGTTACGATTGACTGTCGCAACAGTGTGCCAGGTGCCGGTCGGATTAGATCCGTGTGGATTGGATAAACTCTCGGCATTGCGAACACCCGACTGATGCTGCTTGGTCAGTCAGTGACCTTTGCATTCAAGATCTTTCAAGCAGTTGCATGTGACGAAGTCTAAGACAGTCGAGTCACCAAAACGTGGTTAAGCAGCACCACGCTTTCTTGCTCCCTTGTGCCCAGCATGAGTTCGCAAGACAGCTGAAACACCGCTTCAGCAACATTCGATGAAGATTCGGTTTCCATATAAATCCTTCACATGCATCGACAGGTGCTGATATGAAGCAGGCTGGACGTCTTGAGGGGCGCAGTACCGGCGGACTCCAGGTCCCGTGAGATCCTGCGCTTTGGATGCTGCCAGAACAGCTGCCGCAAAGTTCTCCTCTGCAGATGGATTCCTGTTTTTTCTGATATCTCAAGCTGCTGGCCACAGGCCCGGCCTGGACTGGAAAAGCGGCCACGGCCTTCAATTGTCTGTAGACCTGGACGGCACGTGAAGACATTCAAGCCAGCCGGCCTGCAGTGCGAGTAAGCCCAAGACCAGACGGAAGAAGTCTGTCTGACGGTTTGCTCCACCTGGGTATTAGAGTTTCTTTCGCTGATCAAAGCGGTAGCTTGTTGGCAGGAGCCACCGAAGCCCCGAGCCGCGATTCTGCTCGTCATCAGTGATAAAGGTCCGGAATCTGAAGTGTCATGTTGATCCCACATCAGTTCTGAGTTCCCGTTCTAGGCAACTTCTGGAATGAAGCTCAGCTCCGGCATGTCTTCGAGCGGGTATGAATTCATTTAATCAGTGCCTCTGCGCTTTTCAAGAAGATGAGATCGCGGCTCATTGAATCTCTTCTCATCAAATTTTCCGAAGTCTCGCCGCAAAGTGTGGTGCCGGTCATCCTCACATCCGCGTCACAGCACCGTCATCAGCATTCATCAGCTTGTAAAGCAGGAATGCGTTTCCTGAGGACAGCAGAGCTCCACGAAGCGTAGTTTGCGACCTGAGAATGGTGGGGACACGCAAAAGCAGTCCCACAAAGCCTTCCTTTCAGGCTGTACGACGAGCTTTTCTCTGCTCTGGCAGGATTTCGTCCAGTCCGGCCGCCCGCAAGGATCCACTGAGGAGCTCCTGCTGGCAAGCGACCAAAGATGGACTGGCACGCTCACCTGGGCTCAAGACTTGCGCTAAACACGCGATCTGGTAGGTCTAGGTGCACCAAGCGGCACTCTGTGAGTAGCGCGCCGAAACTGCCTACCTGACAATGGATTCGGTCGATGCGATGGAGGACATATGCTGGCAGCTCTAACCTCGCTCAATGCGAAAAGGGCGGGCTCACTGCCTGTGGCGTGATGTCCTGTTGCTGTGCGAACGAGACCATGAGGAGCCCGTGCCCCCAGCAGCTCGTGTCCGTGCATGCCAGGATGGCAGAGCTACAACCTTAGCCGCCAAGGGCGCCGCCAAGCAAGGCACAAGAAAATACACTGCTCGCAGCTTTCAGCCTATGGTCCATGTTCTCAAGCAATGACCTTCTTTCTCAGCTAGGGAACTGATGGCATCAGGCAATATGCGACACCAAGCCATGTCTTGTGTAACGATATTGACAGCTGTTGCCCAGGACGTCGCCTTTTCGCAGGCACTCACCTGCATGATCCAGTCGTAATCAGGAAGGCTCACTCAGGTGGTGACGTCATGCAACTCATACAAGGGCAGCTGCATCAGCCAAGGCTCTGCCGAATTACATGATATGACGTCCGGTTTCCTTGTGTGACCACATGGCACTCACAAATAGGCTCAGAATGCTGGCAGTGGAACAGAGTATGGGAAACATGAAAAGCCCGGTCGATACCCCCCGCCCCCACTTCAGAGGGTCGAAGTGCGGTTCAACGGAAGTTGGAGGAGAAACGTTCACGGAGCCAATGAAGTGGATGGACGTCCTTCTGCTGCTTGATGAAATGCGTGGTGGCTTCCGCTGGCACAGAGCGATCTGACATTACGTTCTTCTCGTCAACTTGGACATGCATGTGTCAACGACAACACAACATGTGACGAGTGTCTGAGTAAAACGAAACAGAAGCAGCCAGTGGTGACCGATCTGCGAGTTAGTGTGGGTTGAGTACTTTCATGCATTGACAGTTAAAACGTGCGGGCCACCGGAAACATGATGGCGAGCTACAACCCCGGGCTACTGTCCGAAAGTGCTTGAATGTGCTTGACTTTGCAGCCGGATTGGAGGCCAGTCCCTTGCTGCTGTCGCAGCATCAAACAAACGTTCGAAAAGGAAGTCCCAAAGTAAAAATGAGTACACCACTTGAAGGCGCTTCTGCTCTGGCCCAGGGCCCAAATCCAAGAAGCAAGAGCTGGCGATTCCAGCTCCAGAGAGCTGAGATCGCAGAGCGCCACTGATGTCCGGCTTCTGCTGCGCTGAGAACCTCGGAGAGAGCGAGCACCCGGCAGAGCCGAGAAGAGACTTTTGAGAGGGAGCCTGAGCCTGAGCCTGCGGGCCTGTTCTGCACAGCGAATCCTTCTCATCTGAGAGCCCGGCAGCTCCGTGAGACACGACGTCCGGAGCCAGGGTCTCCTAGCGCAGGGCCAAGGCTTCTTGCTTTGCAAGATTTCGGTGAAGGTCGAATGCGAAGCAAAACCCGTCCATGGCGAGCTGGCAGAAGCTCTGCAAGGCTTGCCGCCAGCTGTGGCCTGGACAGGCAACAGCAGGGCAACAGTATTTCTTTTGCGCTCCAGACACGATCACCAGGCACAGAACACTCACCTGTTTGTGGAGCAGAGACTGCCGCCGAACGGACCACAAGATCCAATTGCAGGCTCGAGCCCTTCAAAGCCCGAATCAGATCCACCACTTCCATCCACTGCCGGCATCTTTCGCATGCACTTTGAGCAGCTGCGTATGGATTTAGGCTTGCCTCGGTGCAAGCATGTCCCAACATGTCGCAAGTCAAGTTCCCGCATCTCTGTGATCTTTCTTACATTCGAGCCTGGACCCCATCCATGGCCATGGATCGCAAAACTCCTAGAGCCGCCTCCCAGCGACCGTCGTTGTCAAAAGCTCCCAGAACGGACGTGTAGGCCCCAATGTCGGGTTGCACATCGGATGCCCGCACACCCTGCAGCAAATCCCAAATCCGCTCCGAATCCAAAGCGTTGCCGGCAGAACTGCAAGTAGCAGAGTCCACTGGAACTCCTGCACTGATCAGATGCTGCAAGAATTCGCGGGACACTCGGCGATGATTGCCGGCGGCCCTCAGTGCGGCATTTCCGCTAATGGCATCATGCTCCAAGCGCAGGCGCTGCATCGAAAGGAAGGTGTGGATTGCCAAGGGCCAGTTGGTCTCCAGCTTCTTCATGAGCAGGCTACTCGTGAATTCCGTGGGTTCTAATTCATAATTCAAGACAGACTTAAAAATGCAGAGTGCTGTCGACCAAGAGAGCGAACAAGATAGAATTGCATTGTGGTGCCTGATGTTGGGGATCATGCTGTGCTGGCGCATGCCGGACAGCAGATGCAGAGCGTTGTGCCATTCGGACTGGGCTGCCAGTGGTCCATGTGTGCTTTGTGCTCCCGCGGCGGTTATGGCTGCTCCCGCTGTTACCAGCGAGTGCCTCAGTGACATAGCACTCGCAGTGCTAAGCAGGGCGAGCGACCCCTTCCAGGTCCCATTGCTGCAGCAGGTGATGGCAGCATTGAGTGCTTCAATACTCGCCAAGCGGGAACGGCCTGCGTGAGCCAGCATCTGCATTGCACTGAGTGCATCGTGCCAGCGCTGCCTCCGCCCAAGCTCAGAGAGCGCGGCCGTGAGCTCCTTTGGGCTCTGCAACTTTCGCAGGTGTCGAAGGCCCATCGGCTTGGAGTCGTCATATATCCGGCTCCTGAGGATCCTGCTCTGGTCCCATGTCAGACGCTGATCTAAACACAGCTGACACAAGCATGCACTGGATGCAAGTGCCCCGAAGATATGGACGACAACGTGACAACACAATCCGAAACGCCAGCAACGGAAGATCTGAAGATTGAGAGGTGTTGAGAGCCGAAGAGCGAAGCAACAGGAGTTGCATGGACTTGCAAAAAGTCTCCTCCTTTGCACACGCCGCGACGGCTGGAAAGACGAAGCCTCCACAGATTGCATCGCCGGCGGGTGGTAGCCATTGCCATGCAGCTGAACAGGCACGCCCCTATTCACATCACGCTGTTTTTGCAAACGGATCTGTGGTTTTGCTTGGCAACCTAACTTCAAGCCGGCACGCCCTTTCAATGTAAGATGCTACCGCACATGCATCATGAAACAGTTCTGCAGGCTGCACATGCCAGCTGGGGTCGCTCGCTGGATTCTTCTGGGTTGGCATCCCGCCAAAGCTCCTCCTGCTGGCAAGGCAATGGAGCTGTTTACAACAGGGAACTGCCCGAGCTGTGCAGGTCAGTCCACATAGACCATCATGGGCACCGTCTGGTACAGTGCCACCTGGCAGCTGAGCTGCAGTTTCATCGAATTGTACTGAGAAATCTGATGCCGAATCTCAGTGAGACACCTTCGCCGCCTTAATGTCCTTATAAACTTTGCACTGGTGCAGGGCTGTAGTCGCGGAACACCAACACACACAATCTCTCCAACGGGAGCGGTCCGCTTGAGTAACTTCGGGGTCCAGAGGTCTTCCTGTGAAAGCGAACTTCAGTCAGCACAGCTCTTCAGTGAGCTCACGCATGCATCCCTGAAGCAGATGCTGACCTTCAGAGAAGCCCAGGGCAACTCGGATCTGCCATCTCAACCTAAATTCACATGACATAAGGTCACAAACGGCCAGGCCAGAAAGTACCATGCCAAAGGCACATCGGACTAAGCTGGGGCAACACTTCTCTCTCCAAGACCTCGATGAAGTCCAGGCAGCCCTGAGTGTACAAAGAAACTTGTCTTGCATGCTTTCACATGCATCAAGGGTCGCTGAAAGTAAGAATCGCTCCCATCCGAACGAGAACATTACGATTGCGATTTTCGGGATGCATGAGCAGAACGTTACCCAGACGTACCAGCTGCAGGTAAGAGGAAGCAATGTGCCGTGGCGACACCGGAGAAGTGCGCATGTCGGAAGGAATCGTCTATGCGTCTGTGCAGACATACGTGCATGCACTCACGCGGACCGGCCGTCGAAGCTGCGCATGCTACTTATGTGTGTGCACCCGAACAGCCCATGCAATCCGAATTCCGGGATCCAGTCCTGGGACTGCAAAAACAAGATACCAACACCGCAGATGCTTATTCCGCCGAGGCAACGCGCATTTTCTGCTGATCTGTCTCTCTTTCCTTTATCCCTGCTTCTCGCTGCCTACAGATGCTGCCTACAGATACAGTCCGTGCGATGTTAAATCGCTTGTTCACGGGCTTGTTCTCTTCCTGTTAGCGACTGCTCTAACGAAAAGGCTTGGTGCGAAGATGGGCTCAGATCGTGATGCATCCTCGCCGAATTGGAGACAGCGGGGAAGTTTCCTTTCGATATTCAAGAAGTCAAGGTTTGCTACGGCTGTGCCTGGTGAAGGATGAACTGGCAGTCCGCCCATACCTCTTCCACGTTACCGAGAACGCTCTCGACAAATGGCCACTGGTGATGTCATGAACTTGCACGCCTGCTCAAGCCTCAAGATTGCAGAAGTCAACTCTGCCTCGCAATTCGTTTCAGGCTGACCCAAACTTGCAATCGACACAGCTGCAGATCGCCCCTGGCTCAGCACTCAGCATTCTCTTTGAGTTCCGGCTTGGCTTGGTTGTCATTTAGGTGCAACAAGACCTGACCACTTTGCTTTGCATTCTGAAAAGCGACCTGCACTGCTGAGACGTATCTAAACGAGCTTCCTTCCTTTATCAATCGTAACATGCTGCACCTTGCACAAAGACTCGAAGTCCTGAATTAGTGCACGTGCCATCTCTTGCACCTGTCACGGGCACTCAGACAGATGCTTCAGGACTTCAAGACCCACAGAGCCTCGGCATATGTTTCCATTTGGAGGACCTTGGGCATGCGTCGGGCCCACACATACGGAAGAAGCACGAAAAAGCAAGCGCAGAGGTTGGGTCAGGTCCCGGGCTCTGTGCGCTTTTTCTAAGAGGCTGGAGTCAAAATGCATGACTTGATTGCTGCCCCCGAAGTCGACCTGCCGTCGAGAGTCGAACTCAGCCGGATCAAGGCTGGGTCGCTGCAGATCGCTGAGTTCAGAAGAGGTCTTCGTTGAGCACGCGGCATCTTGCTTCAGGAGGCCCAGGCGCTGACATAGAGAAGCGGCTTGAACCTAAGACGAGTCGGTCTGCGCGAAGACTCCGGCAACAGTGTTGGCATGCTTGCCTCCCGGAAGGGATCTCCAGATGTGCTGAGGAGCGCATCGCACCTCGAAGGCAAGAGCCAGAAAAAAACAGTACAAGAGCAACAAGCAAAATGCGCCGTGAAATCTTCCAAAAGCAAGCACGGCCGTCAGCTTGCACAGCACCGTTTCTCGGCAACAGGTGCGCAGTGGCATTTCTTGATCTCGCCAATAGCTGGATCACCGTCAAAGTTATCAGCACCTTGGATCGCGGTAGATTTTGATGCCAGGCTTCACCACGCCAGCAACAGTAGTGGCAAGTTTGCCGCGACTGCCCTACGATATCCTACTTGGCGCATTTCTGGACTCAAATAGGTTGAGCGGCGAAACTAGACTTGGATCAAGCAGGTGAAGCACAACTGCCACTACGGCCAAGCTGCTTCCCGACTACGTCGTTTCAAAGTAAGCCGACCATGCCCACGATCTATACATCTGGCTCGGACATGGGTGGGCTACACGACCAACCCCATCAACCGTGTTTCGGTGGGACAGGCTTAGACCCAAAAAGTGAAAAGCATTTTGTCCGTATTGTTGGCACTCACCCTCGGGCAAAGCCAGCAAGGTCAATAAACATTAGGGGTTTTGGCTTTGAACCTTGACTGTGCTCAGTGTTTTCTTCTATATAAACCTCTCCTTTGGCAGGCCACAGATCTCCCACATTCCTGCTCTGCATCTTGCAGTTCCCGGACAATGACTGCGGTCTTACTTTCCTGCGGCCCGTGCTGGCTGCAGTTCTTGTAGTCAACTCAACTCATGCGTTCTAGTACACACTCTCTCTTTCCATCGTGAAGTCTCTAAAGACAGAAAGGAATTCAACTAACACGTTCTAGCACACACCCGCCTTTGCAACCGCAAGGTTCGGATGCCGGGGTAAACCTAAACTCTGAGAGGGAAAGGAATTCAACTCACATGTTCTAGGACACACTCGCTCTCGCAATCGAAAGGTTTCGGATGCTGGGACCGTCGAGAGAGAGAGAGAGAGAGGGAGAGAGAGAGAGGGAGAGAGAGAGAGAGAGCTAGTGCTCTAATTACGGTTAGATGATTATTTAAGTTAAAAGTCCCAGCACTCTGGCCCGGGCCACATGCCCCCGAAAATGGCATTCAATGTCAGGGTGAGGTTTAGTAATGCGGGGAAGCGAGTAGTCGGCCGCGTCATCTGCGCAAACATTGCTAGCACAAGCCCAACGCAGGTCACGACCAAACTCAGCCTCAAACATCGCAACGATGAAGCTTCACTCGCGTCATGCCAATGGTCAAGGCTCGAGCAAGAACAGCGCAAACTTGAGCGGACACCAACCGTCTAAACAATCTCATTTTAACTTGAAATGGAATCGGGTCAGACGTGTGCCACAACAATGGCACAAGTGCATAAAGCCCAACCGTCTGTTTGCGATGCTTTGCAGCACGGGAGCGGCAGTCAATTTTGCCTTCGCCAGCTTGGACCTGGAGCCATTTCAGAAAGCCCTACTTGAGCTCCATGCTGCATGGACTCTCCACAAAAACTGAGTACATGCCCCGGTTGCGGCCTCCACGACAGGACTTCGGCGCGTTTTCGTTCCGAAGTACACCTCGAAGAAGGGTCTTTCAATTTGGCCTTTTCTGCCCTCGGACCTTTTTTGATTGCGCCCTGGCGGTGACCCCTCCCCCGCCCGCCACGGGTGGTTTAGGCCTTCTATTAACCGCTCTGCCTGCGGTAATCGCCACCCGTTGGAACGGCTTGGCCTTGCTTCGGAGTTTTGTTCCCCGGCCCCACCCCTCCCCCCACCCTCCCCGCGTGCGTGGAATGTTCTTTCAGCTGCACGGTTGAGGCCTCAAGTTTTAGGTCGCCAGTGGGGGTGTCACCGGGCACAGAGCGCACAACCATATATCATTTTATGAGGGTTGAAGAAGCCTCTGGCATCCTGTCCTGTAACTAGTGATCAACACTTCGTGATCGCTCCTCTTTTCAAGACAACTGAGGATGTGGCCAAGCCCACACATTTACAGGTCCTAAGCTGCACACGGCAGAAGCTGAGGATGCCCCCCTACGTGACTGGCCCACTTGCGGACCAGATGTCTCCCATTCTCCGGCACACACCTTACAGGTCCGAGGCGTTTTCAAGCGCCAACATCTTGCAGCGGGAGCCTCGAATTTGGCATCTTTCGGGACCTTCTTGAAGGGAATCGACGACTGCACAGGCCTGCGACAGACATGTGTAACTTCGGCCAGAATTCAAATCCGGCGCCTGGGTATGCTGACAGAGAGGGCTTCACCGTCATCCAGCGGCCGGCATGACAAGGTCGCCATGCCTTTGTGCGGATCAAGCCGGCAAAAGCCCTGATTTTTGTTGCTCCTGCTTGGAAGCTGCAGCCCAAGTAGGCGAAGTCCCAGGGTGGAACATGCTGTCGAGTCCAGTCCAGCATGGCGCCGTCAGTACGCGCTTTCAGCTTGCTCCACCTACGCAGACGGGGTTACGACGAGTAGTGCCTATGCGAGCTGCCAGAACAAAAAAAACTACCATAATATCACAATGCTAGCATCACAAGAAACTGAAGACAAATATCACAAACACAACCCGTCGAATCAAGGGTGCCGCCGGAAACCAAAGGCTTCAACTGGCATGTGACGTTCTGCTGTTTCTGCTTTCTTCCACGTCGTTATATGTTCTGTCTTTAGTCCGTGTGCTCGTTCTCTCTTGTTTTAGTTATCTCTGTCCTTCCTCCGTCCCTGTTCTTCTTCCGTCGTCCTTGCTTCTTCAGTCACTCCTGTCCCATGCCTTTTTGCTTTACTTATTCCTTCCTTTCTCTCCTTCTTTCATCCTAACCTGGTGTGGACACGCAGTGGCGGTTGCTAGTCAAAGTCAAAAGAAACGGCAAAGCTAAAGGAGGAGGACGCAAACTGCGATAAGGAAAACGCGCAAAGCGCAAAGAAACATACAAACATGCTGGAACAGCGAACACAAAATCAAATGCGACAGCACAAGACACTGCAAAGCCTTATCAAGAAAGCCAGACAAGCCCAAAAAATGGCCGGCCGACAAGCCACAAAGCCAAGGAGCCGAGATGCAGAGACACTCAGAGGCCAAGACTCCAAGACATGAAGACATGGACGCAACACTGCTTCCGTAGACTTCTTCCCCCAAGTATTTGCGCGTTCCCCTGAAAACCAGCGTGTTTCGGGAGAATCCGCCCCCGTAGCTTGTGCGATCTACACGAACTTCCGCATCCGTTTCCCACAAAAGACTGCTCCCTTCGAGAGCAAGATGAGGTCCAATTCTGCGAACGCTGCATTTCGCCGCAATACGAAACTGCTGTCGGGTTATGACCTCTATGGCTGGATTTTCGACCGTTATAGAATCCCCCTACAACGGTACGTCGCAAAATCTCAATTGATTCAGCCACTTGGTTGCATGTTCAACCTCACAATTCTGAGAATGCTGCGCCCGAGCTAAAGGCAGATTCGTTCGACTTCATAAAATGCTTCCCCGTAAGTATTTTCTGCGCCACATCTAGAAAGGGTCACCTTCTGGGCTGCAGTGCAGTGTTAGCACACAATTTAGTGGGAACTGAGAAGCGTGAAGTATGGCTCGTTAAGCCAAGCTTCAGTGAGTCGCCGTACTGCCGCGGGTCGACATAGAAGCCTTTCCTCACCATCACATCGCAGTCGGAGCCGCCGTTGTCAACGAAGCTGTCCTGAAAATACCTTGCTCGAGCAAGCGCTGTGCCAAGTTGGGTCCGGACACAGGCGCTTCATGACATCCGCATGTCAAACAAGCTCGCGGTGACTTTGGCCAAGGATCTGTCGATAGTTTGCTTCCGTCTTCTGTCCATGATGTGAAATCGCACCAACTGACGACACGTGGCTGTCAGCATCGCCACCGTCGATTGCCCAGGCATGACCTCGAGGTAGGATCGTGACTCCTTAGACAGCAACACGCATGTACAGAACTGAGACCATGGCATATCTCCAGCATCTCCAGCTGGAGCTATGTGCTGCGGTGTTGCGCGGTGTGCCAGCTATCTTCCACCGTCTTGGGGCACCCATCACCAGCCTGTGCAAGGAGCGGTTCGCGAAGCCGGGGATGCGACGAGCTGCCTGTCCTGATGGCCTTGCGCAAGTAACGAACCCGTAGTATTCGTCCATATGATCACGATCGCTTCCAAGATGGTCCCACTGGTACTTGCACGGCTTCTCATTCTTCAAGCCCAGTACACGAAGCAAGTGTAGGTGAATGGCACCGTTGTCGGAGGAGTGGTAGCCTTGGAATGCGCGGGCCTTTTGAGCATTCAAGCGCTGTGACGCCAAGGCGGCCAATGAAGGCCACGGCACCACTTCTTGGAAGCTCCTCTTCAAAGCTGGCCCAATCGTCAAGAAAGCGGATGCCAAAGTCAGAGTTCCTCACTGCGTAGTTTCCTGCCTGTCACACAGCATCACAGCATTACAGCATTAGCTCTCTGGAGTGCGGCACGCCGCAGAAAATGGACCAATTTCCAAGCTTTAAGCTGCGGACCATGATCTCGTTATTCATCCAACGCTCGTACAGGACAACATCCGTTGCGGCCACCTCCTTCAACCAATGATCCAAGCCTGCAAAGTTGCTGGCACTTCGTCCATCCACGTGCCTTTCCGGCTTTCGAGGCTCCAGGCCCTGGGCCCCCTAGGCCCCGGCCTCTGTCAAGCCAAACCACGGGGTTGTCGCCGTCGAAAACAAACCTGGAAGCTTCGAAATGCCTTGCGACACAAGACCACAAGACAGAAGACCGTGGAAGCCGTCAAGGCGCAGAATGTGATCACCCACTGTCGTCTCGAGAAAACGTGCCACTGAGCAATGCTTCCGGAAAAAGAAATCACGAAATTTGTCACAGGCCGGATACTCCTCACAAGCAGCTGCAGACGATCGCGTTGAAGCTCTCACTCTGGCTTCGACAACCTCTTTTCAAGCCAGGCATCTGAGGGGTCGATGACCGCATACTCATAGCCTGCAGAAGGAAAAAGCAGAGTAAAGCAACTCCAGCAGAAACTACCAGTTAGGGTCTTGCGGCTTATGCTGCACTGCTTTTGCTTCTTGCATTCCGGCGTTGCGCCCTGCTTTGGGGCTTTCTGCCGGCAGAGTTTGGCAAATATTTCAAGCCTCTGGTCTGAGTGAATCGCAAAATCGCCTTATCTCCACGCCGCTATGCATGCATTCTCATCAGGATAACGAAACAACAAGATGTGGAAAAGAATACAAATCCGAGGGCTCACATAAGTGAACAACCCCCATGAGCTACAACCATGAATTCGACTCACTGCAAGTTGCAGCATTGGTTCTCTGGTTGGGCTTCTCTTGATGCCTCAAGCTCAGCGACAGACTGAGCAAACGCGCCCTCGACTAAGGTCACACCATCGGCAGCAACTTCGCGCTCTTTGACGCTGACTGGCTCATGTGTCCGCTTGGTGCTGCACGGCTCTTGCATAGAGAGGACAGCAACGGCAGCTTGAATGTTCTGAGTTGGAGCTGGGCAAGACGAGTTTCCGCGCTGGTCAATCGATTCGACCAAAGCCACCGGCTCGGTTGTGACGACCCTCTGAGAGACTTTCTCATTCTCCGTGCAGTCATTCTGCATCTGCTCTCGGGCTCTGCGCCTTGCGAGCTTCGACTGAAGTTCGCTGGCCTCATGTCGCTTGCGCTCCGCCTGTGATCGCAAGAGGTCCTTACGCTCCGCTGCTTGTGCCCGTCTTTGCTCGATCTGCTGCCTCTCTTCACAAGAGAGAGTGGTCTCTTGCAATCCAGCAATGCGCTTGATGTCTTCAATTTGCCTTCTGCCGCTCACCATTCTGACAGCAACAACTTCGCCAGAGTCCCAGTCCCCGGTAGCTTGTATCACTGCCATTCCGTCTAGAAAGGGGTTCCTCTGGCCGGACAATCTATCAGGGCTGAGCCAAGCATCTGCAAGCCTGGGTTAAGTGCATCACTGCGTCGTTGTGGTTTTTCGTCTTCGTGCACAGTCAGGAGCTGAGTTTCGAACCGTGTTTCTTGGCGTAGCATCTTTGGCTCGCAATTGAGATGGCGAATCGTTTCTGGTATTTCTTGTCCTTACGCATCGAGGGTTGCAAAGGTAGCCGACTACGCCATGCGCAGAGTCTCGGGGCCAAACTGCCACGGCAGCCAAGCCTTCGCAAGAGGCAAAGCCATGTGCCGCCGAGTGCCAAGAAGGCCCGTGACGCGGCCCGTGACGCCTATCGATGTGTAGTGACCAGGCGGAGGCGCTGAGTCACCGAGAGGAGCGAGCGGAGCCTCCTGACCAGAACACTCCAAGACCCGGCAAAACCTTGGACCGCTGAGACTCCTTCTGCGTCACTGAACTCAGTGACGGGCCGTCAGGCACCTGGCCGTCGTGGAAACAGCATACACCGAGGCAATCTGTCCAAGAAATGCGCTGTATTCTTTTCTGCTGGGGGAAAGATGCACAGGCAAGGCCCATGCAAAGTCGGCAAGTACAAAGGCATGCGGATTGGCATCCAGCTGCCTCACACAGTTACCGGATGTTGCATCAAAGATTCTCACACTGGAACGATAATACGAGACCAGAACGAAATGTCCATCCCCCGAAAAGCAGGCGGCGGTGATATGCTGCGTTCCGCCTTCGCACAAGCTGAGGAACTCGCCAGTCTTCGCATCGAGCACTTTTACATGGCAACAATCCAATGCGAACAATATTCGTGTCCCGTCAGCAGAGAAGCTGACAGGCTGCGGAGGGATGTAATCACCAAGCTGCCGAACCAGCACGGAACAGGCAATGTGTGGTTCTGTCATGGAGTATATCCTTGCACTACAATCGCTCGAGATCAGAGCCACCTTTGACTTGTCCGGCGAGACTGCGGCACCGCACACCACGCCGCTGTGTCGCAAGTGCACAGTCTCACACCCAGAACCTGCATCAAATATTCGGGCAGTGCCATCCCGCAGCACGGCAAGAATTGCGCTGCCTCTTGACATGAAATCAGCACAGCGGCTCCACTTGCCGGCATGGGACATGTGCACTAGCTTATCTGATGCCGTTGCACAAACTGCCGCGAAACCTCGCACGGTGGTACATAAAATGGCCGATCCATCTGGCGAAAATATCACCGAGGAAACCTGTGACTCGAAGCTGCCGTAGGTCGCCAAACACTGCCCGGACCGCACATCAAATGATTTCGCGGTGCAGCTACCTGCTGGGGTGAGAACCGCTGTGCCATCCGGTGAGAACACCGCGTTCTGGGCTCGACGAGGGGAACCACTAAAGCTGCAAAGGTGTTCGTCGCCATCGAAAACGTGGACAAGACCATCCTGGCAACTTGCCAACCACAGGTAGTAAGCTCGTGCCGATGCGAAGCCCACAAGATCTTGGAAAGGTCCTTTTGTGAAACATCTGCGTCCGTCCGCATCAAACATTGTAAGGGTGCTGTCAGACGAGGCTGTTAGCACGTGCGGGTCTGCCTTCCAAACGACGGTTATCAGAAAGTCTCCGCCCTGCCCGAAGTCGCAATTTGCTACTGCAGATACACTGTCACAATCGTGTAGAATCTGCCTGTCCCAGACCTCAGGTGCCCACAGTCTTTCATACTGTGAAGAAAAAAACACAGGCGATGCATAGCTTGACATCTAATGTACATGTGGCCAAGAGGCTAAGTCGAATTGCCGCGCAGGTTTGTGATCCATGGTCGTGGCGTTCGGCGAGGCAAGAACTGCGTCCCGAATCTCAGCAATTCCCAACTCCGGCGACCATTTCACGGAGGCAACAGTCGTGCCATCGATGGACGACACACGTATCATTCAAGGGCTTTTCGCAGAGCTTGTGATGCGAAATCGGAACCTTGTGAAGCCGACACGAGACAGACAAGCACCACGTCTGCCGCATGCTTCTGGAGTTGACCGAATGTTGCTAGTGGCCACAAGTGGCAGCGATCCGAATGATCTGATGAACCGGAGTCAGAGAACCAATGCACCACAAAAGCATGCGAAAGTGTGCTGCTTGCCAACCTTCCTGAACCTACACAAACCCCACGCGCTGCCCGGACAGCCTTGGCGGCCAGTTGTGCCTGGCTGTCAGGACGGAGCAAGCGGAACTCGAGTGATGCTTTCCATCCCTTTCCCCCCGCTTTCTCGCCTCTGCCTCCTTGAGCTTGATTGCGGCGGCCTCGGCCTTTTTTTCAGCTGCTGCCGCCGCTGCGGTAAAGGAGGCCACAAGACCCTTCTCTTGCCTCCAACATAGCAGACTCCCGTACATCACTGCCAAAGACTTTGGTCCCAACTGAGCCGCAAACGCGAGTTGTTTATGAAGCTGTCGTACTGCATTCAGTTCAGAGTCTCTCCGGTCCTGCCTCGGTGCTTAAAGCACACCGCGTGCAGGCTGCCTATGCCGAGCTGGCACCGTCAAATTGAACATGTTCACAACTGGTTCAAAACTCCATATCTTGCGTGTTCTCATTCAATCAGGTCTCGCACAAGCTTGAGGGAGCATGTTTGCGTGGAATGGGGACTCTGTGCGTTCCGCTGGCGTTAAAGTGGAAGCCTTTCGCTCTCTATTGCAGCTAAGCCAATAACCGATGTGTTTGAAAAATGCGCCATTGCATGCTTGGCATGTTTGCCTTAGACAGCATTTTGTAGCCTGCCACCGATTTTAAAATGCCGCGACTGCTGCTTGTCGTGTTTGGACATGCTCCAGCACAAACTGGCCATCTTGCTTCTGAGCGGGCCCGGTGTACCGAGGCCGGGGCTCCAGGAAGGAGGACCAAAACAGCACACCGGCAAACAGGCTGAGCACCTTGACGGCAGATTCCCAGGTGTGCCGGCGAACTCATAAAGCGAGAGGACTTGGCTGAGCTACGCACAGACAGAAAGCACAGGCTCTGCTTGACGAAGCCGCGACATCCGCGAGAAGCCATGCTGTGCAGCAGCCATGGCACTGCGCTGCATACCGGATTTGACCAAATCTGCCAGGTGCCAGCTGCTAGCAGTTCTGGCTCATGCTTTCCCGAAAAAGCCCCTTACATCCCCTTGCATTCTGCACGTGTAGAAGGTGGTGGTTGGCCACTGTCCCCCAGTCATGTACTGCACATGCTCTTGATTGGTGCGGCGGCCGACCTTTGGTGGGAACTCGGCTTCTTTACAACTGTGTGTACAACTCAGCTGTGGGGCGTACGTCTTGGCCATACTGCGCAAGGGCTCCAGCGTCGTCTGCCAGGTCGGGCGAAAGCTCAGCACACAAAAGCGAGCGAGGACGCCCAACAGGAAACGAGCACCGCACTTGCCTCCATGAGCTGTTCAACGATGGTCATGTAGAGTCGCTCAAACTGGGTGTAGCTCTTGTCGAAAGCGGTGATCTTGGCGCAAACTTGCGTTTGCCCAATACTTCATGCCAGACGACACCAGCATACTGATCGGCGGCTCACCACAAAATTTCTCGCCGTCTAGTTGCGCAGGTATATTGCTCGCATCAGTAACGCCCCGTCCGAAGCAGTTCTCTGCTGGCAATCGGAGGAGCTGTACAGCGTCAGCATGCTTGGCCCTTGTCAAGGCCTTGCAAATCATATCACATTATCGACATCCAACGACGGCCACGAGCAGAGTGGACAGTATCGGCGCCAACCCGGGCATCCATGCCCTTTTGATGGCTTGCCTTTGTCCCACGATGCCCCGCTCCCAGGCCTCTCACAAGATATAAGCGGTAATCTGCAAGCTTCTCTAAGCCTGTTCCGGCTTACGGTATGGCTATATACATGCTTCAAAGCTGCACACAGACATGGGTGGCATTTGGCGGCTCTGTTTAACGAATCCAATAGCATCAGCGCCCTTGCACCAACCATCCATTGTGCGAGGTTATTCCCTCTGACAAGGGAGATCTTGAAGTTAGTTGAGATCAGGACCTTTTAAACTGAGACTTTCTAGATCTCCGCTGGAAGGAAACCAGCCGTCAGTCACGCTCTAGGCCGTTCCATCTGCGAGCGGCCAGACGAGGGATGGGCAAAGAAGTAGATGCCCTTTTTTGATCGAGATTCTCGTACCTCGGGTGAAAGCGTGCTAAGCACTCGACACACATCACGAGGTACTCTTAGTTCGCCGTTATTCCACGTTGCCGCGGGCTATAGCCTGGTAGAACGGAAGAGTCGACTCAAACTCAATCGGCAAACGACCAGGGTCAAGTTCAACGGAAAAGCATTAACGCTATGGACCCACAGATGATTCAACCAGGCTGTCCTGGTCAGCTCTAGCCGGGGAGCTTCCCAGCCAGGCGGCAAGCCTGCCTGCAGCTCCTTTAACTTTGGATCTGTTATTGGGCCTGCAGCGAGTCGTCAATCGGGCGATGCGGAAGTTCTGAATCACTGGCCTTGCTTCACTTTGGGTGCAGGTCTCGGTCTTGCAGGTGGCCCGCCCTTCCAGGCAGCTGAAGCCTGCTGTCAAATGTAACCATACCGAGTCATACCATCTCTCGGAACTAGACCACATGCAATAGGCACCTCGCGGACGGACATGCCTTCGAAGTAAACGCTCAGAAAGGGTCCGATCGGCACCTGTGCAAGCTGCAAGCCAGACTTCAGTCCCCTGCAATCTGCTACCGTGTCATTTGGCCTACTGCGGAGTGCGCCTTGGCAGGACTCATCGTGTCATCTTCCGGGTCGAGGAAGAATCCACTTATCACCTTGGTAGTTCCAGCGTGTCACTTAAGAACCAGCATCATCTGCTGCGTCTTCATTTGCCGACCCTCAAACAGCAGCCATCGCGACCGGAATTCACAGCATCGACAGCAGGTTTTCCAAGTGCTTAAATCCAAGCTGCCAGCTGCTCGTTCACAACTTTCACGACTGCATGCACGCGCGGATGGATAGGATCTCCATCCTCACAAACATTCGTCTTACTCGCCAGCGTTCTTGATTGATCTCGTGCCCGCTCGCCGCTCGCTCTCTCTACCTGTCTCTCTTTCTTTGGCCAGGCTTGATGGGCAAGCCCGCTGCTGGGGCCGCCCGATGGTTGGCGGTGTGCACTGTGTTCTGGGGCGTGGAGGGCAGGCTGTCCCTACCCCCCGCTCTTGGGAGCAGCCCCATCCCGTCATCTTGACAGGGTGGGCTCGGCTGTACCGGAAGTTCGCTTGTGTCTGGTGCCCACTTGGTTGCCAAGCACTACATCAGCAAGGTTACTTGCAAGTCTGGGTTCCCGGGCACTCCGATCTCTCTTCTTCCCCGGGGCAGAGCACTCCGATCTCTCTCTCTCTCTCTCTCTCGGAACCGGTCTCTCCGCGCCTTGTCTGTTGAAGGAAGGTTCGCACCTTCGTGCTCGTCTCCCAGGTAGTAGTGCCCTGCTGGCCCCTTGCGGGAAATCCACCTCGAAGAAAATAGAAGACTGCCGGCTAGGAGTATCGTATCATCGTGGAAATGACTGCCTACGGCGGGCAGGCAATTTGACCGTGCAATGCGACGACCGTTGCAGTCAACACACAGCCCTTCATAGCGGCTTCCCCGCAACTCCCGGGCCATCGTCGCGCAAATAAGCGGACCTGGACCAGCTTCAGCACTGTTCTCTGGCATGTCTGCAAGCTGTTATGGGCCTCAAGAAATCAACAGGAGCAACTCAGCCACTCGGGCTTGTCAAGAATCGTGCGAACCTTCTTCTTCCGGCCGCCCACGTTCCAGGACACTGGCTATGTGTGCCGCGGTGGCGCTGCTACACACCGACGCTGCGTGCTCCTGGAGCTGCCCTGCCTCAATCGAGAAGCAATTCCTGTTTCCCTACCCTCCACTGGGCCCTTCACCGTGCAAGTGGTAACTAGCAACTGTGCCCTTGGATCCCTGCCAGTTGCTTGCAAAGTTTGGCTCGTGCAGCAGGCCCATGCTGATTGCCACCTCTCCTTGGCTTTCTCGCCACTCTTGCAGCTGTCTTATGAAATGCATCACCCGGCCCAAGGTGGATGGGCAAACCTATTAAAGAGTACCGAGAAGTGTCAGACCTCGGGCGAACCATTCTCGTGCAGAATCCTTGGCAGCTTGGAGAGTCATCGTCGCCTGAAGCATCTCATGATGAATGCTATAGTTGCTTTGGCAACCTTCGGAAAAGCTTCCAACTTCTGCTTTTCAGCTTGTGCGCCAGCATCTGAAGCACGTATGGTCAGCGACAGGCTGTGTTCCCCGACGCAGTAGTGCATGCGCGGATATCGCTACGGAAGCACTCCCTTTTTTGCCCAAACTGCGGCAAGCACAGCCACCAAAATCTCTCTGCAAGCTGCTCAGTTGGATGGCTCGTTTCATTTGCCCCTGCCTATCTCTGCGTTCTGTGCACGTGCTGAAAGATGTTCACATTGCCTGCTTGTTGTACAAGAACTTCCGTCGTCAACTTGAAAGAGTCCGCAACGTCGGGAAGGTGGATCGATCATCAACTGGCTCGCTCGCCACCTCTTCGCGCTGGATGTGGTGGCATAAGCCCAGCTGTTGCGAGCAGATATCAAGATAGTCGCAATAGCAAATGCTCCCCCTGCTTGGTAGAGAAAACTTCGGATAGCCCGCCAACTGGAAGAGCAAAAGCCGCCTCTTCGAAGGCTTTGTTCATCATGCCTTTCTCGAAAGGATCGAGGCGACCGCCTCTCTTGGCAGATTTGCAGTCGGAGTGCTCGCCTGCCAGGTCCTGGACGGAGCCATGAAGGGAAGGACATGCGTGGGGACACAAGAACCCATGCTCTTTTCCTCGAACTTGTTGACAAGGTCAGAGCCCGATGCCAGAGAAAGCATCTGCCGAAGACTCTGCAGCTGCTTCCTTGCTTCCTCCTGACTGCAAGTAATCACTTCCTGTCGCCAGGAACTCGCCTCGAGCGTGACAAGGGCAATTAGCTCTTCTCTCGGAGGGCTTAAGTACCCCCTGCCTCCACCCGCCCCCCCAACCCCCGCCACTGATGTTTCCCTCGGGGCTTTTCCCCAGCATCGGCACAACACATACCTTAGCACACATAGAAGCGGACTCACACGCAATTGCTTGCTTGCTTGCTTGCTTGTTTGCTCGCTTGCTTGCTGGGAGTATGGAGGCCTAAAGGACGCCCTGGCCCGGAGGACTACCCCACCTGAATTCTCGCTCTTTGCTTGGCTTTGCTTCGTGCTTGGGGCTCTCTCTCGCTCGGAGCAGCCCTCCCGCCCCGCGCAGGTGCGCTACCCTCTCTCTCTCTCTCCCTCTCTCTCGCTCTCTCTGCCGTGAGTTCCGGAGGGCTAATGGCTTCCCTATATCTCACTTCTGCGACATTTTTCCTCGTTTTTATAAAAGCCTCGAAGGAAAAAGTTCTGGGTCTAGGCGCACCGCGTGAACAGTTTGGGGCTGGCTCCGCTTTTGGTGACAAGCAAGTAAACACCTCGGCAACCGGAGCATCTGTGCCTGGTTCCAGGAGTGATGTCGGCGGTGTGCACGCTTTGAGATCCCTCTGGGCATGCAACAAAGTGCGCAGGGAGCAATGGCGGAGCACTGGCTGCGATATGATCCCAGGCACACGATTCAACGATTTTTGGGGAGGGGGTGAGACCACATAAGAGATGTCGTCTACGCAATCGAGTCCTCACCCACAACCCTGATATCGGTCATGGAAATGGATTTCCCCCAATATTCGGCCCAGGCAAGGCACAACACAAACTACAGGAAACTAGATTCCAAGAAATGCATCTTCAGTTGTTTCGAACCTCGGCATCTGCACTTCAAGGAAAAAGCGGCAGACATCCCTGTTCTTCTCTTTCGGCTCGTCGAAGCAGCCCACCCTCTAGGAGTTTTGTTCGATCATGTCGAGTTACCTAAGGGAACGATGATTGCTCCGAGAGTTCTGCATAACTCTAGACGACTTCTGCTACCTTACACGCATACGCAGCAGCACCGGAGGAGATGGATTGCTCACTCAAAGGCTTCAGGGGTTTCAGTCCAGCACACAGGTAAGCCAAACAGACACGGGTTTCCTTATCTCATGTGCCGAGAGCACCTCAGTTTAAGCGAATACATCATCAAACAAATAAAACAGCTTGTTGATTCAACTCTTCCCTCCGAGCTTTTTGCCTCATTGTTGTTCCCTGCACTCTACCTGACTCTACCAGCTGCCTCGACCTTCCATGCCTGACTTTTCGAACGAAGCCATCACCCGTCCGACTGAGGCCAAGTTAGCACGAGCCCATACATCGACTTCGCCTTCATCTGAGTGTTGGTTTGCTGGGAGCTCAGCCGAGAAACCCACGTGTCCAAGGGCAAGCTTGGCGGTAGAAGTGCCATTAATTGGCCGACCCAAAGGCATACTCAGCGTCCAGAAGGGGGCGGCCGTGGACCCCAACAACAGCACCCCGTGGCCATGGGCGGCAATCGGGGGTGGAGACGAAGATTCCTGGCATCAACACGCGCTCTGTGTAGGAGACGGCACCACTCCGCACCATCGCCACCCGCACACCTGCAGACGCTAACACAACCACACGCCACACCACAAGCAGCTAAGCAGCTCCCACGCGGAACAGCAACACTAACAAGCATCGTAGCCGCAGGACCAGCCAACTGGACCCCTGCGTGCAGCAGGTGCCCAACAGCTTCGACGATACGACAGGCCAGGAGGTCCAATACCCATGACAGCTGTAACATCACGACAGGGGCGTCCACTTGCACGGGGAGAATTACACGCGACGACTGCCACAAACGTCAAGCGGAGGGGACGCAAGTCTGGTGCCAACGACGTGTTGGCCCGGTTTTGGTCGCATCGCGAACTGCGCCCGGCCAGGCGCACCGCCCGGAAACCCAGTGCCGGATGCTGTATACTCCAGGTCAACCTCACCCACTTTGTTATTCCTTCTTCCCATCCCGCTCCCATTTTCCCATCCACCTCCCGCCCGATGAGGCGGCACAAGCCGCCAAGCAAAGGCGGGGGATGGGTCTCTCTCATCTCTCAAACACACAAAGCAGGAAAGTGCGCACGACTGCAGCTGGCCTTTTTACAGCCTTGATGCTTCCGAAGGATTTGGAGGACGGTGGCAACCGTATCTGCGTCGCGCTTAGCCCGTTTGACGGCGCGGCCCGGCTGTGGAACCTGCCACTTGGAGCTCGAGGCAACAACCTGCAACTGTTGCTCGCGCACAAATCTGGACATGGCCTCTCCAGAGTCCAGGATGGTCACCCGCTTAGACGCCGTGCCATCAGCACTCCCGCAGTCCTCTCCACTCAGACCGATTGAAAACGACACGCAAAGGTTTCCACACTGCCCAAACATTACTTCCTTCCACCGCATACAAACCTGCAAGCGAAAGTGCTGGTGAACTGTGCATCATGGTCAGGGGTTTCAAACAGGGGTTGGCAGGAAAGTGCCGAAAGCCTCCATCATCCTCACTGCCTCCATTCCCGAGACGACTTTGCCGAAGGCCACATTCTTGCCATCAAGTTGTGGACAGTCTTTGCAGCAGATTAGAAACTGCGAACCATTGGAATCCGGACCAGAGTTTGCCATCGACACAATTCCCTCGGAGTCATGCTTTACTTCGAAGTTCTCGTCTTGGAAGGCGTGTCCGTAGATCGACTCCCCTCCAGTTCCGTCCCCCCTTGTGATATCACCTCCGATGCAGACGAAGCCCGGAATGATGCAGTGAAAGACAGAACCCAGGTAGGTGAGACGCTTCCCACTCACTATCCCACGTCCCCGCTCGCCAGTGCAGAGACACCTGAAATTCTCCACGGTTTCAGGAACTATGTCGGAGTAGAGCTCGATCTCAAGACGCCCAACTGACTGCCCATCCAAGGATATTTCCAGGAACACCTTGCAGCTGCCAAGAAAGCCCAAATCTGCGCTCCAAGCAATTCAGCTGAGCAGCTCGTGGATTGGAGCTGTCCGGGTCCTTCTTCAAAGCACCCGCAGCCTGCAGCATTGGGAATTGAGAGGTAAAGTGAAGCACCATGAAGCGGGGACTGGCCTCTGCGGTGCGAGGGGAGGCTGGCTCAATGCCAAGCTGCTCTTCTAGCGCCAATAATTGTCCAATGAAGCCCGACTTCGGACTGACGGTCGGGCGCTTCTCCTGCAGGACTCTACAGGACTGCATCCTATAACCCTTTCGGGATCCACAAGACACTCACAAGCGCTCACGCAAGCTGCTTCTCCTTGACAGACAGCAGAGCCTCAAGCAGCGACATGCAGACTGGAGTTGCGGAAGATGCTGGCCGCCAGCCGAGTGCTCTACTTGCAACACCCATCTCCCACTAGCGGCCGAGCCTTTCCGACGGAGATCTTCTCTTTGTGCATCAAAAAGGAAACAGCCAGTGCCACACTTCTGGAACGTCCTTCTACACAATGGACCAATACCTTTCCTTGGGCCAGCCCTTCGGAAATGAAGAGTCGGACATCATCAAAGTGTTGCGCTATGTCCACCGAGCCCATGTCGTCGATAGGAACAAACAGCCTCACAAATGGATCTTTCTTGCCGCCATCCTGCAAGTACATCCGTCCGCCACTTGAGCGTCCATCAACCTTGCGCTTGGAAAGATGCTTCTCCTCCAAGAGAGCAGGGACACCCAGTCTAGAAGGGAACTCGGTGCCAACAGAGAGCACGTGCTTCACTCCCAAGATGGCCAGCTGTTTGGTCTGGGATGCTGCATCGCGGGAGCCGATGTACAGCTTGGGTCGAATCTCGGTCACATCAAGGTTCATCTAATCAGGTGCGAACTCCGCGCTCTCCAGCCATGAGCCAAATGGCTGCAAGGGAACTCCTGTCTTCATGAACCCTAAAGTCGCACCCGTCTCCAACTAGCTGGTGTAGGAACATCTCACTTCCTTGACATAGAAAGCACAAATAGAAAGCAAGGCTTGCATCGCCTTGCCAGAGGCACCACACTTCTCCTTGGCGGCTGGAGCAAACAATCGGTTCAAAGGCTGGAGATGGCTGGAGATTCAACAGCCACAACTTGACCGTCAATCCATTTCATCCATGAGAACCTACCGGAACCCAGCAAGCCCTATGGTACATAGCAGGCCTTCCACACCACACCCTCCCAGGTATACCACGGACGAACACCAGCCTTTCTGATCAATATGAAAGGCCATCACGGAGCATACTGCCGACTGCCGGGCATCCACAGAGCTCAGGCCAAGCGTCCGCCACTTGAAGCAGCTCTGGATGCCTCTCTTTCAACAGAGCTTCCACTTTGCGGTCTCCGCGCGATTGAGCCAGCACAATAACGAGGCGCCGCCATGCATCTCCTCGGGCCGCAGTTTGCACCATCAACCCTGTGGCGCGACGGCAGAACCGCCTAATGCACCTTGCAACTAGAATCTTGTCCTGCCAACACTGCTACAACAACCTCCTGCTCAGAAAGCATCATTCCAAATGGGGGACAACACGCCGCATCACCGTTTGCGAGCTCCAAGCCACGTTCTTCGTTGGCAGCTGCAGCAGCTACAAGTGCAGGATCGACAGGTTTGGCTCCACCGCCATTTCTGACTTCAGCACTCGGTCGATCTTGGCAGGGCTGCGTGGCTGGTATAGTTTGGAGAGCAGAACCGCACCCGCAGCCCGCAGCTGTCACTCAAAACGCATAAACGGCCGATCACCCCTCCGATGAAGCTAAACAAAGCCTTTGCACCAGACATGGTCAAGACGAGCCACCCGCAGACTGCGACCGGCCTCAGGTTTTACTCGCTACGACCTCTTCCATGCAATTCGTCACATCTGCACTCTATGCGTCCCACCCTACTGTAGCTTGCCCTTTCCCGCTGCAACGATTTTCACAGAAAGCACATCATCTTGCCGGCGGAGTAGATGTTTCTCCAGGTGTTTCCCCTCTGCTGTGACACGAAGCGAACTCGAACCGCATGACACCTCTCTGCTGCTCTTCTGTGGACGCCAACGTGCACTCAGTTCGGGGTCAAAGCCTTGAGCGAGCTGAGAAGCTTCTGTGGACGCAGAGCACCCACAGCCCTCCCACTAAGCTAAACATTCGTGTGTTCATTGCTTTCGCCCCTCACGATCCCGACAAAATGGAGTCATTTGGAGCTAGAATGCTTCCGCTTCTCCGGCTTCCCAGCCAGCCCGGAAAGATTGGTTTGGAAAGGTGACAACCGATGAGAAGGATGTTGCTGTTAAACGCTGGCACAGCTTGATCAATCGACTCGTGCAAGCCGTTGCTAACCTTGCCCGAACCAACGAAACATGTCCAAGAACCTTTACCTCTGACCCTTATCAATACCAGCTTCATGCTGAGGAGTATCTTGCCTTTGGCTGAACAAGCTCAGCTCCTGCGATTGGCGCAACCGGAACTCCATCTCCGCTCGGCAGCAGCTCCCAGGGCACCTGTCGAAGGCATCTACGCCGCGGGCTACACGATGGCACGGGTCCAGCCTCAGGCGTTTTCGACCGATCGCGTTTACGACCCATCGCTCCCCGCTACGCATTGGCCCATCGGCTTTGGGCCGATATGTTTGAAGTGTATAACTTGCATCACCATGCAGCAGCATCGATGGCACCCAGCTGAACAAGCATCGACCACATCAAGCCTATCTTGGGACCATGCCTCTGAAATAACAAGGTTCGCCCACCTCTCCCAGAGTAGCCTCAGACCGGCGGCAGGCTGCAGGAGTTCAACACGTACTGTGCTGACTTGCTGGTGACGCCTCCGGAAAGGCATGGCATCTGAATTTTTCATGCGCGTTCTCAAACCCGAGATTTCGGAGAGTGCAGAAATCGCAGACCAGATTGTGCAACTACGCCATCTACGCTGGCTTCGTCTTCATCTGGCCTAGGCTGCAGATGACCACAACCTTGTCACAGCTGCTGCCTAATTCCGTCATTCTCGTGGCTACGTTACGTGACACGGATGACATGGAAGTTCAGAAGGGCCTGTCTTGTCAGCGCCATGTCAAACAGCTTCCTTCTGCTTTTGCAAGCACATTGCTTCACGTACGGCTCGATCAGCGAGCAAAGAGAGGAGTTTAGTTTGAAGCTGCCGCCTCACGCACGAGCTCCGAGACCGAGCGCAGCATGGCTCTTGCAGGCCAACGTGCTCACATGCTACGTGTAGTAGGTCGGGGTGGGAAACATCTACCACCTCCACCTGACGACCAGCCCAATGGTCTTGCTGACATTACACGACTGGTCTAAGTACCGGTGCTCTATGGGGTAGCTCCTGGACACATCAAAGCGAAATTTAGCGGACATCACAGAGATGCTGAAGCCAACAACACCTTTACCTCATACCTTTCATATTTTAAACCTTTGTATCTACTGCAAGAGCGTTGGCCTGGTCGATTTGTTGCACAATGCATTGTTTCTCGCTTCAGAGGCGTGCGATCGGTGCACGAGATTCCCGTGCTTGACGGGAAGCAACCACATCCGGGAAGAGGAGCTCTTCCTTAGCTACCACTGCTGCATACAGAAGGATTCACACAAGTATGCAACTGAGCCTCCAAGATGTCACGCAGTTCTGTGGGAGCCTCCAAGCTCCAATTTTGTGCAAATTCCGCCTCCAAGTCGGCGATCTCGTCCTTGCTTCGTTTTGGACTTCTCACCTTGGGATGCACTGTCACCGCTTGCACGCCCTAGCCACCTGCCCTGCAGCCTTCGCCTCACCTGCCAAACAAAAGAGCATAGCATTCCCACAACGCTGCCCAACGGCTGCGAGGTACAGTCAGGGCACGTAATCTCTCAGTTCCACGCTCGTCTTCATGGCTGCTTCAAAGGACAATGAAAGCAACCGGTCGACTGCAGAGGCTATATCAAGATCAGCAAACTGATCGTCCTCCTGGTCATGGTCAATGTCAAGGCCTGACACGACAGAGCATACTTACATTACAATGGCCACGCTCCCCTACCGCTGTAGGAATGAGTTTTTGTATGTTTTGTTTTGATCGGGTCGCTTGGTAGTGGTGGCTAGCTGGGAAACTATTCCACTATGTCACTATGCATCCCGGTTCAGAGAGCCCTTCCGGGGAGTCCTGGCAGCCGCTCTGACGAAGCCTCGTGGGAAGCCCTTACAAGGGGAGGGAGCCCCTTACCGGAAGCATGTGCGGGTTGCACAAATGGGGGGATCTTCACAGGGATCCTCAACACGCGAGTGGAGAAGGAAATGTAGGCCTCGGGATAATATGGAATGCTCCATGTCGGCAGGGTGCCAAAGGTGGGGCAGGAGTTGGTACGGAGCGCAATGCAAGAACAATCTCTACGCAGTGGCTTGGCTAGCCGACATGGGGAGCACGCAGAGATGAAGCATGAGTATATGGAACGCTACGGCGTCAGTAAGCTTTACGCTACCACCAGCCAACGCAAAGCTGAGGTTGTTGACCAGTCATATAAATGCGAGGCACTCGCAGATTCAACGATAGTGTATCACTAATGCTTCTTTGTGTCGTAAGCCAAATGACGGTGGTAACGATCTCAGTGTGAGACTGCATCATGATGATCTACATCAGAATCACGTGTACAAGCACAAAGGGTGCGTGATGTCTTTTGTGGTTTCTTTGATCACAGCCCTTGTTTTGGTTTTGGCCTTCCTCCAGGATTTTAGTTTGTTCGGTTTCTTCGTGCTGTTTGGCTGCTGTGGTGTGTTTGGTCTTTTGGGTTTGGCTATCCTCCTGGATAGGCGATTTTAGTTGTTTTCTTCTGTGTTTTTTTGGTCGTGCCTTCGGTCCCGTCATTTGGATCTGTTGGAGGTATGGCCCCCAGCAGACGCACGCAGTGCGGCCGTCGGCAACCACTATCAAGAACCTTTGCTCGCCCTTGGTTTGTGGTCTGCAAGGAATTGAAAGCGAAGCGACCCTCTTTGTTTCAGCTCGCTCAGTTCACTTCAAACAAAAAAATCCCTGTGTGCACTTAAACCAAGCGAGAAACCAAGAGCCACAATTTACAACTTGCTTTTTTACTATGATGAGAAGAATCGACAGAAGCGCAGAACAAAATCCCAAGGTTATCAATTTACGATACTTAGACAACAAAAAACAATGCATGGTTTTTGCCTTCTGTTCAATTCTCACAATCTGGGCGTTCGTGCAAAAAGCACAATTGCTCATTTCAACAAAACGAGTGAGCGAAAGAAGTGAGCCGAACGTAAGCATGCTTTCATTGTAGTAGCCTTTGCCCTTTTCCACGAGCGTCTCTATCAGTAGTCAAGCATTGCAGTCATGACGGCTTAGTGACTTATGTTGTATTTTCTGGGCTCATGTTTGGAATCTCCGCGACAATCATACCAGGCCCGCGATGAAAACACTTACACCCGTCAGGAAGTAGGACCGGATCTCCAGAAAACCGAAACTTCTTCAATATCAGCATGGCCTGGCTTTCATATGACTTTAGTTTTAGTCATGCCTGGCTTGTTTGGAGGAATTTAAATATCTGTTGTGCCTACGTTTCGCGGGTCCCCAGAAATGGTATACCTCAGGGTCAATAGTTCTCGGTCTTCAGTATTTTGCCAGCCTGTCTTTTCGCAACCCTTTGTATAATCTCTCACAATCTCGAAGGATGATGGTTTTCTCCACTATTATCCCCGAATATCGCTTTTCTTCAAATCATCAATCTCTGGCATGCCTTCTGCAAGAACGAAGCGCAAACATAATTTGCTGTACAATGAATGAAACAAGAATCACCGGTGGAACGAGTAAACAGCGAAATAAAACAAGTGCAACGGCAACCGCTCTTTTTGGCCAGAGGTTGACTCAAAGCACATAGGCTCACTCACCGTCAAAAAGCGTGCCGTCAGGAAGGGGGAGTAGCCCCCCGTCCGAAGCGGGTGGGAAAGCGCGGGTGAGCTTAAGTGGCGACCACGGTTTGGACTGCGAGGCCTATACCAGACCGTGCAGAAGACTATCATGAGACACGTGCGCTTCGCTTGCCGGACCTTGTCCCAGCTAATTTAGGCTTCTTGCACCACTGGACAACCGATGTCCATTCATAAAACTTGCAAACGCAGAGGTCGTTTCATAATCTCTCGCCCCATTAGCCGACAGTCCTGCATGCTAAATGACTGCAGGCTACAGGTAGCAGTAGGAATAGTGGTAGCAATGGTCATCGTCTGAGCGCCGCTTCTCGACGGCCTGGCACTCACCGCAGGTTTGAAGGCACCAATACAAGCCGCTTTTGTCCGTCCTTCAGTCTTCTATTTGGATCCATCTGATTTGTGGCTTTTGACGTTCCTCCTTCGTTCCTTCCTGCCTTCCTTCTTTTTTCTTGCTTCTCCCTTCCTTGGCTCCTTCCTTTGTCTTGGCTTGCCTCCTTTCTGCCACCCACCTCCCCTAAGGAAACGCCCAAAGCAGCATCAGCAAAATAACACGACACTGCCAGGTGCCGATGAACAACTATCTGATGCGAAGCTGAGGACTGCACCTTGTTCCCGACTCAGCTCCTGCAATCAAAACCACTAGAGGAGAAAGCTTGCAGCCAAGCAACAGATCAGGCCTGTCTAACCACGAGCCGATCTGAACTTGCAGATTGCTCAGCGCCTTCGGACAGTAGATCCTGCATCAAGTCTGGAGGATCTCATCGGCAGCACAGCTTCACTGCAAACTACCTCGATGCTAAAGAACTTCATCGGAAGGTGATGAAGATTCGGATGCTTTCAGTCTATGTTTAATCTCTTCGTTCCAGGGAAGCCCGAAAAAAAGCTTTGATCACGCCTCAACCAGCGGAGTACGATTGCGCAGAAAAGCCTCGGTCTCCGCCACATTAGCTGCTGCTGCCTGGGCGTGCAGCGAGGACGCTCAGCATGTCCGTACAGATCTGCACAGCCTTTCACAGCCTCAGGGTCCACGATCTCTTCAAGGACTTGCCGAAGCTCTTGCGGAGCCTGAGGCGGCTTTAGTCAGGCTGAAGAAGCTCATCGTTTCAGCTGGTCCTCGCGGTGCCAGTGCTCTCGAAACTCTTTTTCCAGCTTCCCACTGTCCTCAGTCACTCAGCTTTCTAAAATTGCGCTATCAGACAGACAACTTGACAAGAGCGATGATTTCGGAGCTTCTTGCTGCCCTATCCAGCTGAATAGCCTAGAAATCGTCGTTAAGTCTGATGAGACACGACAGCCTGTGAAAGGTTTAGCAACTCAGCAAATCCTGCTCTTTCGACATCACCCCTTCTCGCACATCTCTGACGAAACTCCTCCGTGCTGTTCTTCTGAATGTACTCAGCCAGCGCGGGGCAATGTTTCAATGCCTCTCTCCAGCGGCACTCTCAGAATCCTGGTACAGACACTACGAGGCCTCGTCGAAAGGCTTGCAAAGCAGTTCCTCTACCTTTCCGGACGCGCCGCTCGGCTCCTGCGTATCTGAGGTCTCGTCTGTCCATGCCGATCTGAGGTTCCGAGCCTGGTTGGCAGCGCTTGCACGGGAGGCCTCTGCCATGTCCGCGCCGGTGCGGTGTGGGCCACGCAATCTAGAATCTAGTACTTTGTTGTTTCTGACAGATGGTTCGGCAGAAACACTGCGACAGGCAACTCTGCAAGGCTGTGCAGGTATACGGTATACCGGATAAATCATGTGAGTCAGTCTATGCTTGAGTCCACACAGTTCGCAGCCGGTTCACTGCACAGCACGAAGGCCAGCAATCGCAGGTGCAGGGCCCCGACCTTTGGTGAGCGATTTGCTCTGCGACCGGCTTCTCGACTGTGCATTTCCTCACACTCTTCCGAACAGAGTTGCACTCAGAAGTGACGATGGTTGCAACGCTTGGCTGTCACTCGTGTCGAACATACAAAGCCAAAGCCGCGCGCAAGAGGTCTTCCAGGAAGACGGGGACCTGGCCAAGCATGCCTGCCCTGAGTTCGGTGCGCATGAGAAGATAGACCCGGAATGGACCGTTGTTCCATCAATGGTGCTGGATCCCTCAAGGATCTTAAAGACCTGCTTCCACACTTGTGTGGCTCTTTTTCTGGCTGGTCTTCTGCATCGGGCTGTCCCGTCGACAACATATGGGACTTTGACGTCCCCTGTCCTGAAAACACACCTCTCATGCAGCAAGACTGGCCCTTCTCGATTCTGTGCTCTTGTTGGCACAGTTGGAACATCTCAAAACCATACGGAGCGACCAAGAGAGGCCGTGGCCCAATTGGCAAGCACGACATCTCCAATCGCAACCCCCACGTGGAACATGCTCGTGGCGAATATTTCAAGAAAGATTTGTGAAGTGAGAAGTTCAATGCACAAGTATACGTGGTCTTAGAAAATGCGTTCGCCACATCGCTTGCCCCCCTGTCCTTGCAGCTAAACGTTAGATGGACTCTTGAGGCAGCCAAACACCAGCACAACTTGCGCAAGCTCGTTTGCATCGTGAAGGTCCTCGGCATGTGAGGATTTGGGATCAAAACACACACACACACACACAGATTTGGCCGGCAGCCTAGAAGCCAAGTGTCGTGGCTAGAACGAGTGAAGGTGGCGAAGTGCCTGTGCCCGCAGATTGTGCGGGAAAGGCAGAGTTGAACCGGATGGCTTTGCGTGCATAGCACCGGCTGCCAGACCACCACCCTGGCACAGGACTGCATGTGGCAACTACGGCTCTAGGCTCTATTCCGTGCCTGGGAGATCGTGGAGAGTCGACTGTGGTACAGGACGCTCCTGGACAGGCTCTCCCTTGCGCACTGAGGGCTAATGGATCAAGCAACCCAACGCTCCTGACGCTAGATCTGTGGTGCAGTAAAGTGGATCGGTGGCTCGCGTGATGGAACTCGTCGGGCAAGCTCGGATAACCAAGTACATCGCCACCAGCTCCAGCGGACATCCAGTCCTTGGCCAAACGGGTCACGTGCAGCAAATCCCGCAGTTTGATATTACTATGTGTGCCGTCTGAACGGCGTCACGACCTGCAACTCTGGGGTTTACATGCAAGCTTCAAGGCCAACGATGTTGAAGAAGCGCTTCAAGAAATCAATCACCAACAACCCGAGCAAGTCGTATAACCAAATCCTGGGTCGCAGCAGGGCAGCCACAATGTCACGAGTCTGTCAGCTAGACAAGCTCAAAGGATTTAGGTGACTGAGGCAGCAACCAGCCAATGTCGACCCAAGCCTCAATTCAATTTGAGTCCAGGGCAAACATATCCATGGTGAATGACATCTGGTCTGGCAAATGCCAACGTGCCGTTTGTGCAGTCCCAGAGACTACTTTGTGCACAATCTTAAACGTGTCCCCGAAGCCAGCCAGCAGCGAGACCAGAATGTTGCCACCCATGACGCACACCAGCAGGAGCAGGGATGGGAAAGCATCCGACCGAAAGAGGTTGAAGACGTACACAGGCGTTCGGCACGAGAAGATAAACAGCTCGACTGCAATGGACATCTGAAGGTATGTCACTGCCATGCGATATTCATCAGAGCCATCTCCTTCTAGGAGGTCCGACATATACAAGGCCATCGTCTGGGCTGTGCCAAGAATACCATAAAGGAAAGAAGCCAAGAGAATCGATGGCATCGAAGGAATTTCAGGGAGTGCCGACGGGGAGGCATTGTCACTTGCAACCGGAAGCATGGTAACATCGTTCACCAGGGCAAGCAAAATCACATAGATCGCAGGCATGGTGTCATTGTACGCATAAATGAGTACCGATAAGACCAGTACGATTTGGATGGTGGCTGCGATGCGGTACAACACATACGACCTCAGCCGGGCGAAAATCTTCCGAGACTCGACGACGGCATCGAAAATGGCGGAAAGTCCCGGGGATGTAAGTATGATGTCCGCAGCTGACCGTGCTGCTTCGGTCGCTCCATCTACTGCAATGCCGATCTGCGCTTGAGCTAATGCCGGAGCGTCATTAACTCCGTCACCAGTCATGCCGACAACCAGCCCCCGATTCTGCAGCACGAGTATGACCTCCCGCTTGTCCTTGGGAAGAACCTGCGCAAATCCATCCGATGTCATAATCGTCTCATCTCGAGTCGCTGATGCCGGCCACAAATCAGAAGCAGGGAGAATGCCTGTCCCCAGACCGATCAGGCGACTTGTTTCCACTGCTATGTTCAGGTGGTCGCCGGTTATCATCTTGACATTGATCCCAGCCGATCGGATCCGGTAAATGGTAAGTTGTGTGTCTTGCCGTGGGGGATCGAGCATGGGAATGATGGCGACAAACTGCATGGGGCCTTCACCTTCAGAGACAGCCAAGCCGACCGTCTTGTACCCCTGCGATGACAAGCGAAGGTCAACCTCTTTTAATTCATCCTTGAGAACGACGGCATCTTCGCACTCCCAGCAGTCTCCTCCATCTTCCCCGGTGATCAGAACTTTGTCCACAAGCCCCTTTGAGATTTTGAGCTTGCCTTTCTCTTCGTGCTCGCAATACACAACGGTCCGCTTGACGGTTGGGTTGAAGCCCACAAACTTAGTCTTCTTGTATTTTGCCATAAGCTGTTCGGCCTCATCAACTCCAAAGTGTTCGCTCCCTGAACCCAGGACGGCCTTGTCTATCGGGTCTTCCTTGTTTGCTGGGTTGGATGCCAAGCATGCATAAAGCAGCGCATCATCTTTTGGCAGCTTATTGCGAGTCCATGTTCTGTGAGGCAGGACCCTCATATCAGCTGTTGTCAATGTGCCGGTCTTATCGGAGCACAAAACCGTCATGGATGCGATTTCTTGGAGGGCGGTTAAATGTGTCACAATGGCTTTCTTGCTGGCCATGCTTGCCGCTCCGATCGCCATTGTCACCTGCATTACCAGCGGAAGCGCGATGGGCACAGCACCGATCACCAACGCCAGCACATTGAGGAGCGCCTTGGAGAACGCAGTTCCCCGGTGGGCGACATCAACATACAGCACGACACCGGCATCCACGAGCGCTAGCAGTATAACAGCATGCACCACCTGCATGATCTTGGTCTCAAAGATGCCCGGTTGATGGCCAGAGGCTTCTGCCACAAGGCCGGCAGCTTGCCCTATCTCTGTGTTCAGCCCTGTCTCCCTCACTTCGCAGTGGGCCTCACCCTGCTTCACAATGCAGCCTGAAAGCAGCAACTTCCCTGATCCCGTCGCCTCGCCTTCGCGATCCGGACGAGGAATCTTGCGTGGAATGGGCTCACCGGTCAAAGCAGCCGTGTCCACCAACATTTCATCGCCTTCCAAGAACTCACAGTCCGCAGGGACGATGTTCCCACCGCGCAGGAAGATCCTTGGGCCGTAGGCACATGAGAAGTGGGAAGCGTTCTCGACTTCCGGGGGTTTGCTTTGCTATAAGACAGGCTCTCTGGCATCCCACTGGATTGTGTCACTTTGCTGGAATGCGGAACCGTCTCTACTCGGCTTGAATAATCCTTGCTATGAGCGCTTCAACCCTTCGATACGTCAATCACTTGATACCCTTCAAACACAGCAAAGATTCACATCACCTGGCACGAGGTCTGCAACAGGAACGATGATCATGTTCCCATCACGCTTCACAGGAACCGTAGCCGTCATCTGAGCCTTCAGTGCGTCCAAGGACTGGCGGGCCTTGAACTCTTCGTGGAAACCAATAAAGGCATTCACAACCAACATGAGCGTAATAACTGCGAAGTCGGCCCAGTCTTCCGTGATGGCAGAAAGCGCCGCAGCAACGATGAGCATGAAAGGCATCATGCCAACGAATTGCTTTCCAAGCATAACATACCAAGGCTCAACATGCTCGGGTATCTCGTTCCGCCCGAATTGGCTAAGCCTTGCTGCAGCCTCGTCAGACGTTAAACCAGTCAATGGTCCCTCATCCGAGCCAGGCGGTGCATCTGCACCCGACCCTACCAGCGACTGATTACTAGGTGCCAAATTGGCGGCACTCGCGCTTGGGGCATGTATAGTGATTTGTATTCTCTCAGGTTCTGACGGTCGACCATCACCAGTGAAAGGAGACCGCGTCAACTCTGGGTCCCACTCGGTCTGGGTCTCACTCAGAAGCGGCGCCTTCTTAACCTCGCCCGCATCATGTGCCGCCATTGCAGAACCGAAGATCTTGCTATTCCCCCGTCGGATGGCTCGTACACTGTATGAACCACCAAACCACAAGCATTTCAGAAGTTCAAATCATGCATCAGTATCTGACAACTGTGGAGCATGGGGCGGAAGTTGGACCTGCTGCACAAACTCCAGGAATCTCACTCGCAGCGCCTTAGCAAGCATCGATGTGTTCCCGAACCTTCCCACGAAAAATAAGTTGCTGCAGTTCAACGAGTCACGCTCTAAGCAGGGATCTGCCGAGACATCCAGCAATCGTGTTGGCAGATGCCTTTCCTCGCCGGATCTTCTGTGCAAGGCAAAGCTGCTTCCAAATGCGTGCGCTACACTGCGCTCTGCTCTCCGCAGGTTTTCCGAGTTCCAAGCGCTCTTTTCCTTTTGGATCGTGGCTTCTCAGAAGCCCGCGGTTCTAAAACTCGCTCTGGGCCCTGGCTCCGGAGTCTTACACTGGTGCTGTCTTGCGTGACATGACCGGACCGTGCAACACGCAACACCCTCTGCACAATTCGATCTTAGACTAATGGGCCCTCAGCATGTCACCTGCAGGATGCCTACCCGTGCACTAATCGAATTTTAGGAAGATGCAGGATGCAGCTGCTACTGACTGCTGCGACTCATCACTCCGCCCTCTATGTACAGAATAAACACTATAGACCTCAGCACAAGATGGAGTTGCTACGAAGCAGGTCAAGCAGTAATTGCCCAGAAAGGATAGTGTGCCAGACCTTCAACAGTGGTAAGTTGATTGCATCCAAGATCATCCAAGTCACCGAGATCTTACATCACGCCATCAGTGCCTCAGACTTGAGGTCTGAGACCATCCAAGTTTTGGTGCCGCAGTTCTTCCGCCGCACCTGCCAGCCCAGCGGCTCGTTTTCCTCTTCTCCCTCAGCTCCCTCTTCTCCCTCCTTGCGCTCCCGCATGCTCCCGCCTTGCGCCAGTTGCTCCAAATGCCACAGGCCGCTGCCAGCATCGAAAGCAGGCCCAGCCTTGTAAGGCTCTACTAGTACCACTCTACAAAGCGAAGAACACCAGCTTCGTGACTGCCAACTCCCTGCAGCTACTTGCAGGGCAATCAACAATTCCATGGATTGAGGTTAGGCCCAAATCACCTCAATGGTTTGCGTAGGTCCTACTTGTAGGTCGCTCCGGTTGCTAGCTAATGGTTGGAACTTTCTTGTGCAAAGGTCCAGGCTAACAGCCAACCGCTGTGCTTCATCCTGCATTTAAAGATTTCACAGTACGTTTGGGCTGGTGGCTTTGTTGTCCGAGCTGGTTGTGGCATTGTATGTGGAGTGTATGAGGTGACCGATGTCCCGACAAATGCAAAGGCTGGTACATAGTTCCAGGAAACCAACAACAACGTAAATGAACGCCACTGTTGCATCGATCCCGCAGTTAATTTTAAAGTTTGCAAAGTCTGCCGTTCCAGAATGCCTTTTCCAGACCGGCGGGTGCCGATTACCATTTTGAGAGAACGGCTGGAAGCCCCGCGGGCTCAGCTAAACGGCTGCCAAACAAAAAGAAGCAAGCAGCAACACACTCCGAAAGTTCGCATCAGAAACAGAAGAACAGAAGAAGAAGATTGAAGCCCCTCCCAAGTTCGACAACCCCCGGCCTCGCATGGGAGGCTTTCGCGAGCTTCAGTTTCGAGAGGAGGACTCTGTAGCTGGCAAACATGCCAAGGATCTCCAGCACGTGAAAAAGACGAGCGTCCTCGCATTTGCAGGGCCCACTATGTAGGTCTGTTTTTTTCCGCCTTCTTTCTGTACCCTTAATTCTGAGACTCGGTCATCTGGATCTTCCACACCTGAGGTGACAACACGCTGGCGGCAACCCACATCGACAACTCAGAACTGTCACTGGGTGCTGTAGAGAGGCGACGAAGGCCGAGCCTCAGCAAAGCCTTATACAGCAGGAGCAAATTGGCACCTCAGGTATGACGGTATGGGTGTGCTTCGGTCCGTCATGTACCGGCTGCATCTGCGGACTAGCCGAGGCTTTCGCAGATCGCAAAATTCAGCCTCCATATGGACGCCCAGTTGCGCTTGCGCTTGACGTCTCAGAGTAGCTCACCAGCAAGCAGATATCATGATCACGGCGTGCCACAAATCAGCTCTGAGCTTCTGAAGCTTGCAGTCAAGCTCCGCTAAGCGTAAACACTTTTGAGAACATCTCTCAGAACTTTTCTGGGCAGAGAGTGGGTGAGAGAGCTGGAGCGAGAGAGAGAGAGAGAGACAGGGGAGAGAGGGGAGAGAGGGGAGAGAGGGGAGAGAGGGGAGAGAGGCGAGACAGGCGAGAGAGGAGAGAGAGGAGAGAGAGGAGAGAGAGGAGAGAGAGGAGAGAGAAAAACAGAGGAGAAAAAAAAAAGAGGAGATAGAGAAAAGAAGGATATAGAAAAAAGAGGAGAAAGAGGGAGAGAGAGAGAGAGGGAGAAAGAGAGAGAAAGCGAGAAAGAGAGAAAGAGAGAGAGAGAGAGAGAGCCCATCGCAGCAATGCAGAGAATATGTTGTCCAGGCCAGATGAAACCCGGTTCATCCTTCATAAATAAATCTTCATCTTGTGAATGTCACGAAAGCAGTCCAAGCATCAAAAAAAAAGTCTTAGAGGCTCATTCTCAACGCGAACGGCATCAGCCTTATACTCATCATTATCACACATCATCAGCACCATCATTTCCATCATCATCTTCATTGCCATCAAGCATCATCACCATCATCCTCATCCTCATTCTCATCATCCTCATCATGTTCTTTTCCATCTTCATCATGGATTCCTCGTGCGATAAGGCAATCCACGAAGGATTGGAGTAAGTTTGCCGGCCACGTGCAATTTATATCTCATTCTTGTCAAGCCAAGATAGTTGCACGCGAGTGTGCCAAGACTCGACATGCGTTTAGAACCACGAAGGCAAACAATCTGCGTTTAGAACCACAAAGGCAAGCAATCTTACGCTTCAGCTGCGACAGACAAAACAGCGTCACGACTTCAAGCTGGAACGACACTTCCATCGAAAAATCAAATTTCCAACCAAGGACATGGAAAGTACCACTGGATCAATGTGGACTACCCTGATGTCTACAGCTGGGCTTCAAGCTTGCGACACCTCCCAGAGCTCTCAACACAGCCCCGTTCTTGCCTAAGCTGGCGACCGCACAAAGTAGATGTTCGGCAGGAGCGAAGAAACCAAACACAAGCAATGTAAATCAGCCATAGGGACGGAAGCCCTTCCACATCCTGCGATTGACCAGCAGGTCACAGGCATCTAGCCAAAATAGCTCATTCCCGCGGACCTCCGCTGCATCTGTGGAACTTCTTTCGAGCGCACGAGACCAACCGACGCAGCCCAGAGAAGGTTGTCACCTGTTTCTGAAGACTTCGTGACTGGCTGCGATTCTACGTACACTGCGCCTAGGTAGTAGAAGAAAGAGCAGGTGTGACCAAGCCTGGGTGGAGTCAGGAGGACAGGGCTAGCAGAAAGCAACTGCCGGAAGGACAGTAACTCAACGACGGCGACTTGGCCAGCTATCTCCATCGACCTTCCTCTTCCTGTCTGGAAATTCCACGTACACATCCCTACAGCAACCTCGGGCAACGGCATATCAAGGATTCCACATGCTGCAGGAACGGACAAAGTTCCATGCTCCTGTGCACCCTGGGAGAATCGACTCCACCCTCGACGAACCTTGCACAAGTTCAACAGCATAGAGCCGGCTTGTGGCTCAGTCTCTGTCATGGCAAGCCTTGTAGACTTCTCTGAACTCTTTGAACAGTCTGAAAATCTTGCGTCCGTCACTGAGGCTGTCCTCCGACACAAGCAAGACAAAGGGGGTCTATCCAGGTCTCAAGATCATGATCGTCCTCCATCCCCCTGTACATCCAATGCCGCTCGCTGTCTGGCTCGGAAAGCACCTGCGACTGCTTCCGCTGGCTTGTCGGATGCACTTACCCGCTCACACACTCAAGGACAGAGTCACCTCGCTGGCGAATTTGCAGTAGCCCTGCATCAGAGCGCAGAACTTGTCTCGCCCCGATGAGAACTGCAACACCTCGGCTCCGCAGGTCATGCCGGAAACCCCGAGTGTTTTTCAATTCAAGCCGTCGCATCGTAGATGAAGTTGAAAGCTGTTCCCACGCGCTCATCGTAGACCTAAGCACGAGTGATTGCATTGGTGAGCCGCTCCGACAGCAAAGAACGAGGCGCACCGTCGACACATGCCAGTTCAACGTCTCCACCAATCCCGGTGAGTTGAGGATGCCGGTGTCCACCCCCTTGGTAACAACTGGAGTCTTCTGCGAACAGCTGCCTCCAATCGCCAGTAGCAGCAGCTTCGGCGAGGCGTAAGGCCTCCGCCATATGACTTGGCTGAAAAACCTCGGCGAACTGAGAAACCACTGGCACTGGCAACTGATCTATGGAGGCAAAAACACTTAGGCCCATGCGTGGCAGCAGCTGGCAGCACGGAGCTACAGCAAGCGCGCTGAAAAAGTGTTGACACGTGGACGGCTCTTTGGAGTCTGTCACAATCGTGCTGTCCTTTTGTGCTTTTGCATTGCCTGCTGGCTTCAGCTGTCGGAAGACTGCACGCTGCGCCAATCGGGTACGAGCAATGCAGAAGAACGGGCTGACCGTGCCGGGCAGACGATGTCTACGTGTTTTGTCTTTCACAGCAGCATTGGAATCTTATAAATTCAGAAACTCATGAATGTGGTCCTGCTTCTGCAGCAGCTCCATGCGCATGTGTCCTGCCCCCTCGGAAGCATAGAAGCAACTCAGCTGTATGCGAGTTGAACAGCCCAGCGGCCCCGGCAGGGCCCCGGTAGCCTACATCCAAACTGAGGGCCGATCAGCAGATGCCGACGAAACATCACCTTCTTAGGGGCAGCAGTGCACATTGTCCTGATCCCTGAGCTGTTGCAGTGTAACTTGAACCGCTGTGCGCTGTCGCAAACTGTGGCGTTTCGCCTCTTCACGTGCTGTCTGTGTTGCATCTACAGTGCTTTTCCTTTCTTTCTGGCGACAAGGAAGTCATACTGAAATTCCCGCACCAAGCTATGCTGTGCCTTGAAACTGGTCATGGGGGGTGGCGTGGGACACACGTCTTTGTCTTGGACCAGATCGCGACCTCATGTGCAGGTGAAAGGAATTTCAATCAGTTAAACATGTAGCAGCCACACATAGCATCCGGACAGAGAGCGGCCCGAATGCATCGCGAACTCCGACGGCCTGACACATCAGAAACTAGAAAGCAGGGCAGTGCAGCGAAATTGTTGGGAAGTGGAGCCTCAGCCTGCCAGTGGGCAGCAAGCAGCCTGAACATGCAAAGCGCGCAGCACCAGTACCACAGCACCACAGCCCTTGTGTGCCTCATCCTTGCTCGAAAGCAACGGACAAGGACGTCACACAAGCTAACCGTGCTATTAGCGAACTCTCCATCGTATGACTGTAAACACCTCAGGCCACAACGATGAGATCCGAAAGTAGTCCGACAGTTGCACAGGCGATATGTCGTCCTTGGTTGGCCGAGTCGGGCATCTGAGGCCGGTCCTTTACCGATGATCCGTCCCAAAGCTCTCCTCGCTTTGTCCATGGTTTCCCTCAGAATCACCGTGGTCTTGTAAACAAACTTCGCCACAACCACTCTTTGAAAGGTAATTACATGATACATGCTGCCATTCGCACTGCTGATGTATCTAGGTTTTCCACAACATGGATTTCTTCAAGAAGCTCCGCCCTTCCAACACCTTCTAGTTGCTATCTCCCACTTCTGGCTTGTCTGCGCGGGGGAGGTGTTAATGCAAGGCCACCCCTGTACCCCCACCACGTTTGTCTTCTGTTCCGCTCCGACATTTGACAGCTGCTCCATGGTTGATTAGGTGATTAAGGCATCCCTGGCTCAAGCCCTCTCCAGTGATCGCGGCACTTCTGAGGCACGCTAGTAGGGAGGCGCTGTACTACGTAATGATTGAACATACTTTCACCAACCTCATCCAGGATCCAGCAGCTCAACGAGCCGCCCACTTCCCGGAGCCCACCCAAGCCAGGGGAGCAAGGACTGTGCACTACGCGGGACCACCTTCATGGCGGGTCATCATATAGCTTAAACATGCCCCGTCATTCGGCGATTCCAGATCATCACATATCTTAAACATGCCCTTTCGTTTGGCGTTTCCGGTTCATCATAAGCCTCAAACATGCCCCCTCATTCGGCGATTCCGGTTCATCATGTGAATCATAAATCTTCAACACGCCACCTGATTTGGCGATATGTCTCTTCAACACGCCCCCTAATTTGGCGATTCCAGTTCATCATTCATCCTGAACATGCCCCCTCATTCGACGATTCCGGCTAATCATACAGCTTAGACGTTTCCTCTCATTTGGCGATTCCGGTTCATGACATATCTTGAACACACCCCTCATTTGGCGATTCCGGCTCTCCACATAGCTTAGATAAGCACGCCCCCTCACTCGGCATTTCCAACTCATCACATATCTTAAACACGCCCCATCATGTGGCGATTTTGGTTCATCATATGTCTTAAACATGCCCCCTCATTTGGCGTTTCGGGTTCATCATATATTTTGAAGTCTTATACTCCGAAGCGCACATGTCGTGGGCTATTGCCCCTTCGGGAGCGAGGCTCAACCGGAAGGTTCTGGGTGAAACTGAAAACGCACCTCTGGGACCACGCGTACCTCAGCCAGTGTGTTGAAAGAGGGGCTACTTAACTGCGCAGATTAAAGTCCTAAACTCCTAAACACGCCCCTTTATTTGGCGATTACGGTTCATCATCCATCTTAACACGCCCCTCATTTGGCGATTCCGGTTCTTCACATATCTTAAACAAGCCCCCTCATTCGGCGTTTCTAATTCATCAGATTATCTTCAACACGCTCCCTCATTTTGCGATTCCGGTTCATCATACGTCTTAACATGCCCTCTCATTTGGCACTTCCGGTTCATCACATATCTTGAAATATGTCTTAAACATACCCCCTCATTTGGCGACACGCCCCCTCATTTGGCGATTCCGGGTAATCATATATCTTCAACACGACCCCTGAGTTGGCGATACGTCTCTTCAACACGCCCCCTCATTTGGCGATTCCAGTTCATCATAAGCCTCAAACACGCCCCCTCGTTTGGTGATTCCGGCCCATCATGTATCTTAAACACGCCGCCTTATTCGGCGGTTCCGGGTTGTCTTAAAACACGCCCTCTTATTTGGCGAGTCCGGTTCATCATATATCTTAAACACGCCCTTTCATTTGGCGATTCGGGTTCATCATAGATCTTAATCTTAAACATGCCCCCTCAGTTAGCAGTTCCGGTTCAGCACAAAGATCAAACACGCCGACTCCTCTGGCGATTCCATAAGACTATAAGAGCAACGCGTAAAAGCATAGGCGTAAAAGCAAAGAAGCGGACAAGCAGAGAAGCAGAAAAGCCGAAAAGCAAAAGCAGAAGCAAGAACGAGCAGAATACGACGAGCACAAAAGGCAGAAAGAACAGCGGAAAAAGCGGACAAGCGGAGGACCAGAAAGCGACGCCCACAAGCAGAGAAGCGGAAAAGCAGAGTCTACATTACTACTATTACTACGACTACTACTACTACTACTACTACTACTACTACTACTACTACTACTACTACTACTACTACTACTACTACTACTACTACTACTACTACTACTACTACTAGTAAGGGTCTCGGCTTGGAACAGCCCGAGTGTAGGGCCGCTGGTGCAACATGGAGCTCCTGCGATTCCTGCCTGCTGCTTTTCTGATTGCGGCAAACTCTGGCCTGCAAACAGCTAACACACAGGACAAGCTGCGCTGGTCCCAATTCCAGCGGCAGGGGGGACATATGGATCTAGACTGCGCAAGGGCGCCCCCTGTAGACCCGAGGGTTCGAGCAGAGCCCAGTGCTGCTCGTGAAGCCGTTTCGACGGTGAATTTTTCTGGAACGAATTCAGAGTTACATTTTAGCTGGGTGAGAAAGCGCTCTTTCAGAAGGGCGAGGCGGAGAGCCTCCATACAAGGCGGAACGTGGTATCGTGGTGTTTGGCGCACGGCCAAGTCTTTGGGTGTGACTGAAGGAACGAGTGTGCAGATCTCCCCTGACCGTACGGCTCCCACGCTACAAGGACGCAGGCCTCGAGTCCGCTTGCTCACGTATAATATCGGCGGCATGAGTGCAGATCTTTACACAGTCTTTTTGGTTTGGCTCCGGGACCAGAAGTGTGCTGACATTATTCTGTTACAAGGGGTGCATTGGGGCTTTGGCCGTGAGGACTCGCAGTGGACGCGCGAGGGCTGGCACTTTGTTTCCTCTGCCTCACCTGACAACCGGTATGCGGGAGTTTGTGTTTGCATTTCGGACAGGTTTGCCAGGGCTTCGGATATTGATTTCCATGTCTGGTCCCCAGGGCGGTTGCTACATGTACGGGTCCATGGCAGAACCATACCGCTCGATATTGTTTCTTTCTATCAGTGGGTTCCGCAAACAAACTCTGGCCATACACAACGGCGCTCGGACCTATGGGCAAAGCTGGATCGCTTGCTCTGCACGCTGCCGCGCCGCAACGTGCTGGCACTGGCAGGAGACTTTAATGCGGTCTTTCAGCCGCTTGGAGTGCATGTAGGGCATGGGGTTCTGGCAACTACACGCAATCCGGATGAAGAGTTGTGTGACATTCTCCAAAGCCATGATCTCTGCGTGCTGAACACTTGGAAGAGTTCGAGAGCTAACGCATGTTCCACTTTTCGGCATGGAGATACGCGGTCACAGCTGGATTATGTCATGACACGCCGGTGCATCACAGACGCACAGGCACGTTCTTCCTTCCCGATTGCTCTGGACCTTGCCCCGTGGCGACAACGACCAAAGCATTGGCCGATTCAGGCCAGCCTGCCTCTGATTGGCAGTTGGGTACTACAGCGTAGAGAGCCTAAACGCACCTTCACTTTTTCTGTTAAGGCGCTTCAGTGCCCGGCAGCCAAACCGCACCAATGGCAGACCTTCTGTGCTGCTGTCCGACAGGAGTTGGCGATGCTTCCCCGTCCGGTTGAGCTTTCTGTTATGAACACCAAAGTTCTCCAGGTGTGTGGCAACTTCTTCCCACCTGATAGGCATAGGAGTACCCAGGGCACGGTTGATCAGGGTCTTGTTGGGGCGGTTAAGCACATGTGGTCTACTTTTATAGAATACACCAAAACCGTTAAGCCATGAGCGGTCGCGCTAACCTTTTACTCAGAGGGCTTGGGCACAATAGTCAGCGGTATATAGTACACAACATGATGACTGTACACGACCATACAAACTCCTACGCAAGCTGCGATGCAAAACTACCCCCCCCTCACCTAAAGGCACGGTCACTGCATTCAAAAACACAACATACCTTCGCCTGCAGGTGGAAGAGCGCTTCGGCTCGGAGTTTGACGATCGGCGTGGAGTTGCCTCCCGCGTCATCAGTTCAGCAAAAGTACATGTGACTATCGTGTGCCTCGAGGAAGGGTGCGAAAACTGCATGCGAGCTTTTCTTCAAATGCAAGACGCTGGTTTCAGCGTGGAGCAAGGACGATAGGAGTTCGCCGCACAGCCACTTGAAAAATATCACAGGCCGGGTGAACATCCCTCTTGCTCGAAAGAATCAGACTACTGGGTCGGCTTATCAGTTCCAACGCCATCCGCGATTGCGCCACTCACGCCAGTCCTGGTTGTCCCAGTTCTGGCCGCGCCATGATCCCCAGGATGACGAAGACCAATTCTGCCACCAGGATTGATTATCCCAGTCCCAGTCGCGGTTGGTGCGATCGGCGGCCTCGGCGTTAGCCGGGCTTTTGCCTTTTCCCTTCTCTGCTGCTCGGGCATATGTAGAGCCCTTGCCACCACCTGGCGGATGCTGCTGGGCATACTTCGGCTGGGCAGCACGACTTTGATTGGCCTTTTTGATGGTTTCATCAACCGTCTCCACCATGAAGGGTAGGTCCTTTGCCAAAACGGTCTGCAGGTCCGTACCCACTGCAGCGGGATCGTAGTTGAGGAGATCCACCTTGCCGTGGCCAAAAGTCTGTAGACGGATGCCCCCCTTTTGCCTGGCGATGTTGTGAGCGAAATCTTGGAACGAAAGGATGGCTCCGTACCATGTAAATGCTACTGGCGTATCCTCCGGCGTGGACGTTAGTCCCGCTGCGCACAACTTGCCG